TATTATCACTTCACTAACTTATCCCCGGAAGGGGTAGGGGGGGGGCTTGGGGGAGCGCGGACAACCTTGCTGCCACCCACCCACCACCCAGTTGGGCGCTCTTCTTCACACTCACACACCCGCATGGATTCCATGCACGGCGCGTGGGTGCCCTGCAGCTTGCATGCATGAAATGCACCCGTCCCTTTCCAGAAGAGGACCCATCCCTCGGCCGCTCGGGAACTTTCCCCCCCACATGTGCAAGCAAGGTAAGGTACCTGCTGAACCTACAGCGCTGTGAATATATTGCGTAGCACCAATTGATCAGTGGCAGGCAGTGAGTGCGTGGACGACAGGGGACGACGTCCTTTGCCTCGCCATGCATCGCCTCGCCTCGCCTCAAAGCAACCCGCCCCCCGAGGTCCCCGTTCCCACGCCACATGCAACACTAACCCATACGTTCGGCTCTACGGATGAAAGGGCAAGGAAGAGAGCAAGAGCCCTGGCAAAATGGCCCGTCGTCTTGTCGCAAGATGCGCCGTGTTGTTCAAGAGTGTCTATTCTCTGACTGTCCGTCCCCGGCATGGAATTACGACCATGACATCCTCAGCCATGCCGCTGCCATGTGCTGGCGACGGCGCCCCCTGCTCACCGTGCCGCCATCTATCCCTGAGGGGTCCATGTGCCCACCCTGGTATCATGACTTTTTAAACAAAGAGCCCTCAAACATTACCCAGACGCCCACCCAAGAAGCCGTGAGACCACCCAACGCCAACCAAGTATACCCGCCGCCTGACCGAGCCCTGGTCAAAGAGTCCCCGACCCCGTAGAACCGTAGCAAGCAAACCCCTGTGACTCCCGTTTTGCCGACTCTGCTATCGTCACCTTGCCCTGCTAGAGATGCTGAGGCCCTGGCTTTGCTCTTCGAGGTCGTGGAAGTCCTCCAAGGAGCGGTTTGTCGGATGGAGGTCTTGTGTGCTCCACGTCGGCGAGTTCTTGCTGCCCTCGATCACGTAAACTTCGCTCTTGCCGTCGTTGTGTCTTGCGTCGTCGGTACCTTTGCTTCCCGAGACGGCCTGCTTGTGGAATTCGTCAAACGTCAAGCCGACGCCTTTGGGTTGGTAGCTTTCCTGTCTCGGCTCCGCGCCGTATCCGACTTGATGAAGTGAGACATCGTTGGGCCCGAAGCCAGGCATGGATCCCCGCGTCGTCGTGTTTCGGCTGTTCTGCCCGTACCGCCCTCCGCCGGATATGCCCGTGCTCGGAGTCTTGTCAGTCGACGTGAAGCCGCTGACCCTCATTGCTCGAAGGAGTGGTCGGATTGTTGCCAGGCTCGAGGCGATGATTGCAACACCAGGTTCAACCACCGTCCAAATCATGGCGTCCGTCGCCGTAACTATTGAAAGTCAGAATCATCACCCACTTCGTGGCCACCATGGCTCTTACAGAGCAAATCGTCTGCCTCCTGCAGCCCATTCAAGTATTTGAGTCGGATCAGCGTGGCAATGCTTGCACTGATTCGAGACATTAGTCGACAGCAAACTCGGGGCGTGTTGCACGGGCAGACTCACAATATACCGAGACCAAGAATCACAATCACCGTCGCCTTTGCCTGCTTCGTCATCTTGACGTTCCAAAGCATCGGAATTGGCAAAAGGGCCTGGCGAACCAAAGTTAGCTGGGAACGCGCCGTGCCAAACAGATCCGACTCACATAAAGCCAGTCCGAAAGCACCGTCATGACGCTCAGCGCGTACGCTGCGGATATGATCTCGTTGGCGCTGGCGCAGTGCCCATGGTCGATTCTAAAGTCCCACTGCTTCGCAACCGGATTGCATTGGAACACGTCCCACAGGAAGATGCCCAAGCTCCAGAGGGCGATGACCACCAAGCTGACCATGAGAATGTACTTGTATACCTTCCCGACAGCCAGGCGGAGAAGGAAAATGCCGATGCTTAGCTTGATGAACATCATGTCCAGGATGTACACGGCCGTCGCCAGAGCTTGCCACTATCTTGATGTAAGCAAGGGGTCGTTGCGAGGCGCCGACAGAACGTACCATGAGAGCTGCAACGCGGTCGTCTTCGTTGGTGACTGCCTCATTGTGCTTTCCCATACCCTTGTTCACTCCTTCCAGGACCATTGCACAGGTGAGCGTAAAGATGAGCTATAGAGCGTATAAGCAGCGGCACGGATTCGGAAACCCAGGGGCACCAACTTGAGCGACAAACATGAGCCAGTCATCAATCTGAAAGCTCTTCATCAAGATGGCCCTCGTGTACGTCCGTAGCCCGACGGCGACCCAGCTGAGAACGAGCAATGAAACGCAGGTTCCCACCATGGACGCGCCGAGGTTCTCGGTGAGGTCGACATTCTGTTCCGCCATGTCGGATCAACGATACCGGCTTGCCAAACTGCCAAGCACCATATCCTGTCGTTTTCGTGCCAATTCGAACCCGTGGTTGGAAAAGCGAGCCTCGTGACGGCCGAGGCGGAGGACGGCGGGGGAGGCGACGAAATACAGATTGGGGATATAACGAGCAGAACCCAGCAAGTACCAGCCAGAGAGGTAAAGGTGGGAAGACGGTGGTAAAGTACGATTTAACCACCCGCAGCAGTGCCAGGCCAGGGGGTACTTGTGTAAGATGTGGCGTGTTCGGGTCTCGCCAAGTCGAGAGCGCTGGGGACACACCAACGATGGAGTTGGATGTGAGTACCTACGTAGCGCACATGCAAGGTACGGGTACGGAGCAGCAGCTAGATCGACACCGGCGCATGGATGGCCGATGATGTTTGCCTCTAGCCCATCCGCGGTGGTAACGTCCACACGCGGGACATGACAAGGGGCAGTGCGGTGGGAGAGGCTCGTCCCAGGTTGGTTGCTGTATAGCGCCAGACGTCTTGCTTGGACCCGTCGCGTGCTTTCCCGGCCCTCCCACACCAGAGGGACCAGGCCCTCCAACCCCTGTGCACAACCTCACGGCCGGGTCGAGTATCTGCGCAGTGCGGAAGGTAGCGATGGATCTACTGGCCGCCAGGAGTCCCGTCCCCGGTGGCGCGCCAACGGACGCATTTGGTGGCGGTCCGTTGTGCGGAATCTTGGCCTCGCGCTCAGATGCAAAAAAGCAGGCTGCACGTCCATCATGCGATTGTCAAGCGACAGCCATCCTTCAAACCTTGCCACACGCAGGATCCCGTTGCTTGCGCGACAGATCCGCGGGCTTGACCTGCGACAGGCCAGTCCATCCGGCGACCGGGACAGGGTCCTTGGGCCAGTGCGATGCGGTACGACGACGAGGTGCAACCTTGTGCGCGCTGGAAACTCCAGTGCAACGTAGAGGTGGTTGGCCGTCGAGGTGCGCTGGAGCTGTCGATCCGAGTCATGCGACAACGGCGCCAGCGACTGAACCACGGCCGGAAGACACGGCAACACGTCTTGTGCGATCTGGACATGACCCTGTCGCTGCCGTCTGGTACAGCCTTGCGGCTGGGGACGGCAGGGCTGCCCTTTGTCAGAGACAAGTTACCAGGGCTGCTGACATGCGCACTAGCTCTGTAGCCCGACCCATGGTTCGGCGAATCTAGGCTTTTTCGGGAGCGTCGTCGCGGCGCCCCAGCCTTTGGCGGCGCCAACCGTCGACGTTGAGGCGCGCCTGCTCTTTGGTCGGCCGTGACGATGATGCCTTGGTGCGGCGGGGAGATGGATCCTCCAGGGATTTTCGACAGCGATACAGAAGAGACCTTGCATTGACCAGGCTCTCGGCGCCTGTCCTGGCACGTCGTACCAGCGCACGTCCTTTGCAGGGCGCCTCCACTCCGGAGCCTCGAAGATCCAAAACGTGCCGGCGGGGCACGAGTGGGCTCTCGAGAAAGCCGTTGCCAATAGAGCTGGAGCGATCCATGTTCGCAGGACATGCGATGCAAATACGGAGGAGCTGGTCGTCTTCTAGATGGAGACCATAGGGGTCGTCTGCCGCGTGGGACTACTGCTAGGCCGGAGCATAGAGGGGACAAGCTGAAAATCAAGCGGGCTGCGGGAGATGAAGTTCGGGGCCGCAACGGAACCAGAGGGGCGGCGTTGGCGAAGCCTTGGACGTCCGGTCTGGTCCGGTCTGGTCCCAGGCGAGACAAAGGTGGTTGTTGGCGTGGCGTCGTGTTGATGCTGGGGGGACGTCGGGGCGACGTTGGAGGGCCACAGCACGACGCAAGCAGATTTCAATCTCACGTGCCGAGGCAACACAGTTCTGGGGGAAGGAGCCATGCGCGACCTCCTGCAAGCTCTGCAAGTCGTCTTGGTGCTTGCTGGGTGTTCTGTGGTGCAAGGTATGGGTGTGTCCCGTGAGGGAAGGCGCGCCCAGGATGGCGCATGCTGGACTAATGCACGTCCCAACGAGAACCTCGTACAAACCACAGCGCAAGACCAAAGACTCTCTGCCCGCATAGTCCATGGACCTTTCGCAGCCAACGCGCGCTGTTGTCTGCATCACTTCTATCCGTTTCCCCTGAACGCTGCCGAGCCGCTCACATACTATTCCCCAACGCGGCAACAAGAGCGCGCGCCTCGCGGAAGACCCACGACCACCGTGACATGAAAACTCGACTCGTGCGCATAGACGAAACCAGTGTCACCGTCGTACCTGGGCTTCAGTACCCCGAGTGCCACGTTTCTCTTGGTCCGCGGCTCGCATCCTTCCCGGCGGCGGCCGAAGCTGAGGCGCATCCTGGCCGAGAATCTGCGCATCATGGGCCCCTGACGGGCCCATCAAGTGGGGGCCCCTGGGCGGCGAGGCGTCGACTTGTCCTGCCAAGCCAGGCGACAGACGAATCTCTGGATGGAGAAGGCGGCAGGAGTGGATGCTGGCAGCGGATGGCACCTGTGTCGATGGGTCGGAGTGCAAGAAGCCCGACGGCTTGCGGGCCTGCAAATTCCAAATTCTGCCTCTTCGGCACCGTCAGTGCGCAAGTCTGAAGATCCGAGCCCGTGAGCAGATCCGACCGGCCACTCCGCCCGGCACTCGCTCGTGTCCTGAACCGGCAGACGTGCCTACTTCGTACATTTTACTGCTCCTCGCACCAGCAGTTCGCAGCTGGCCGATCGCCAGTTCGTCTGTCGGCGGGTCCCGCCCCTGGCCAGACGTCCAACCTGTGCGACCTCGGGAAGCGGTTCTGAAACCGCGACTTGCGGCCAGCAGCAGGGGAAAGCCGCACGCGAGCCGGTTAAATCGGGAGGGGGGAGTGGAAAACAATCGCCGTGCCTCTCCTGAAGCGAAAACGCGACGTCGGTTTTCATATGAAGGCCGTTTGTTGTTTGTCGCCAATGCTCGATAGTCCAGGCTTGGTGTGCAGCAGCGCCGCAAATTCCTTGCCGCTGTGGAGGGTCGGCTCAACCTTGCCAAACGCAGGAGGCGCTGCAGGGCTACTGCAACCACGGAATAAGACGCCACCATCCGGGTCGGCCACCAGGAACAGCCTAGCCGTCGAGCACCAGTCGGTCGCGGCCTGTCTTTACTTGTGGCTGGTGTTTGGCGACCTCCCGCGCGACGTCGACAAGGCCGACAAAGTCGTGCTTGACCGACTCGGATGCACGTGTAGGTCCGGATCAGACTCCGAGATTCTAGCCGCAACGCACCGACGACGACGTCAACCGCGCAGCGCCGTAGCATTGCGCCAAGCCACAAAGAGGAAGAATGAGAACAAGAGTCTGTGCGTTCCCGCCATGCCGGCAGACGCACGGGTCGGCGGAGCATGGCGGAAGGGGGCCCGAGCCCGGCAGACCCTCTTTTCCGGGAGGACAGGCCGCCCGTTACCGGAGACGGGATTTGGCTGTTGGCCAACTACAGACTTACATCTGGGAGAGGGAGCCTGGCTCGCTGCATCATTGGGCAAGACAAACTGTGCCATGAAGTCGGCTGCGAAGACGTGAGCACTGTGGGTTTGGCTAGGCCGTGTTGTCCAACCCTGCCGCTGCAGGAGGGGGCGGCAACGTCCCGCCCCCCTGGCTTGTCTGGCGCTGTGAAACCCGCTGACATTTGCCGTTCGGCCAGATGTGCCGCTCCCGACGTCAACCAGACTCTCTCCCGGCAACGCCCGCATCGTCGTCATATTCGACAACCGCAAAGCCCGATCGCGCGCAGCACAGACGACACCATGGCGCACTCTGAGCAGATCGACGGCCTCGACTACACGTGTCGGCAATATGGCGAGCATACGCTGCAGCGCGTCGGGATCTGGCAGCCAGCTCCGCGGCGCAATCACGGGTACTGGGCCATGTACGAAATCCCATGCCACCCTTTCCCTGTCCAGCTTGGACGGAGTGCACACGACTGACATGGCTCTAGATTCATTCACGGCGGCGCCTGGCGCGACCCTCGCAACACGCACATGGATTTCGTGCCATCCGTGAAGCGAATTCGTTCCAACGGAGACGAAGCAATTCGCGGCTATATCAGCATTGACTACCGTCTATCCCCGCATCCAAACTTTATTCAAGACCCCGCACAAACGCCCAAGTCAGACTTGCGCACCGCGGAGCATCCAGATCATGCGTTGGACATTCGTGCCGCCCTCAAGTTTCTCGATGCCGAGTGCCACATCTCGCGAGGTTATATCCTCATCGGGCATTCGGCCGGCGCAACTCTCGCTTTTCAGGCACTCATGGGCCAGTCGGCCCTTGCGGGACAGCACCCGCGGGAAACCATCCCGCCGCCAGCGGCAGTCATAGGCATCTCAGGCATCTACGACCTCGTCGCTCTGAACAGCAGGAAAGAAGGCTACGACGCCTTCATCAGCGCCGCCTTTAGCAAAGATCAAGAGGTTTGGCGCGCGGCGTCGCCGGCGACTTTCGGAGGTAGCTTCAAAGAGACATGGCTCGGTTCTCCACTAGCTATCCTCGCCCACTCGCCGGAGGATACCCTCATCGACATGCCAGAGACTGACTCCATGGCTGCAAAGTTGTCAAACGATGGCATCAACATCATCGCTGTCAGGGATCTGTCCGGAGAGCACGACGAGGTATGGCAGGACGGATCTCAGGTTGCAAGCCTCGTCGCACAAGCCCTTGGGCGCCTGCCGTCGGTGGGCCGATAGCTTTTGACTCTGAGCAGGGGGGAAGCGTTATGCGAATGAACATTACGACCATGTGTTGCCTACCAACTTTATACGCTTGGTGCGCTTTTCTATTCCCTTTGACACTGCCATGCTGTGATGTAACTGGATGTTGGATATGCGACTCTGTGGCACTGGAGCCACGCTGCTCTTCTGGAACAGCAGCTCACTGGTTTTTTATAGCTTTCTAAGCCCCCAATCAAATCTTGGCCCTCCATTTCCATCCGGTCGCGGCAATGCGCGAGGACATAAAGATGGTCGCCCCGGCAGTCATGAAGACCCCCGCCCAAATCTGCGCCGAGAGATGGGAACCTCCCGCCCGATCGATGAGTGCGCCCGCCGTGGGCGGCCCGGCGACAGTCGCAAAGGAGCTGAGCGTTTCTATCATGCCAAACCGCGTCCCCATCTTGCGCGGATCTTTGGTCAGGCTCGCGAGGGCCCCCACGAAGACGCCTTGGTTGGCGGCTATGACTATGCCCCAGAAGACGCAAAAGACGTACATGCCGGCACGCGTCGTCACGCCGATCCAGCTGAAGAAGCCGACGCCGACGAAGAAGGTCGCGACGGAGTAGGTGTTGATGGGGCCGAAGTGGTTGCTGGCGAGGTAGCCGGCGACGGGCCGTGTGGGGATGCCGAGCGCGTTGGTGATGAGCAGGAGGCTGACTGAATCGGTCGTCGAGAATCCAATGACGTTGCGGGCGAAGCTATTGATCTGTATCGAGTGAGTTACGCATCCTCTCATACATGTGCTATGGGTACGCTGACTCACAAAGAACAGTCCGGTGTAGATGGCGTAGAAGTTGAGAAACGAGCCGAGGGCGAAGAGCATGTACGGCAGTTCCCTAAAAGCCGTCCACTCAACCCACGGACCGGCCTTGCGCGGGGGCAGATACGGCCGGAGCATGAGGCAGGCCGCGACAGAGTTGACGAGGGCGATGAAGGCCGCACAGCGGACCGCCCAAGGGAAGCCGACCTTCGGAGTAAGGTACTGGACCGTCGCCGGGAAGATGACGCTCCCGACTGATGTGCCGGCCGTGGACACGGACAGCGCAAAGGCGCGGTTCTTGCGAAAGTAGGAGCTCGTGACGGACAGGGCAGGCATGAAGGCGATACCGAGCCCGAGCCCCGTGCAGATGCCCTGGGCGAGGAAGATCTGCCAGTACGCCGTGGCGAGGCTCGTCATGAAGGTGCCCAGCACGGCGAGGGAGCAGCCCACGATGGCCGCCTCGCGCGCGTACCCGGCGTCGACGAGCCGGCCGGACGGGGCGCACACGGCAAACGTCAGGAAGACCTGGACGGAGCCGATCCAGGAGACCTGCGCGGCGGGCAGGCCGAGGCTTTGGGTGTAGTGCAGCTGGTACACGCCGAACGTGCCGGCGTAGCCCCAGGTCATGGTGTTGATGAGATGGGCGGCGAAGACTTGCATCCAGGCCCGGAGGGGGCCTCCCGGCGGCTTGAACTCGACTTCGGTGCCGTCGCCGTGGTCATCGAGGATAGGGGGCGGCACTACGGGGGCGTCGACGTTGGATAGGGTCCGCTCGGGGTGCAGTTGAGCATCGTTGCCACCGTCATCGCGGTGGTCGTCATCGTCGTCCTCGTCGTCGTGGACATGGGCATGGACGTGGGCGCTCTTGTCTTCTTCGTCTTTACCCGCACGGCCCCGGGGCGGCGAGCCGGACGGCCGCTTTTCGACGTCGACGTCCTTGCTTGGGATCATGGCCCTGTCTGGGGTGACGCATTGACTGCAGGGTCGTCGAGGCGGCGACTCGAGGAGTCTCTCTCTCGCTCTCACCAGTGTGCGGCCCTTTGATTCTTCTGTGTGTGTGAGAGAGTGTGTTGTCTGTGTGTGTGCCTGACTTCTCGGCTTTCCGAGACTGCGAACCAACAGACGGGGGGGAGGCACCGTCCCAGTGGACCGTTTTATATACTTTTTCTGTTCCCTCTCTCCCCTCGTCGACGGACTGTGTACAGCCGGCGGCAGGATGAGGAGACTCGGCGCCCTTGCACAGAGTTTTCGCCTTTCCTTGCCCCTTGCCACCCTGGTTCGCCGGATGCGTGCCCGCGGATCGTCGTTTACGTACGAGGTTGTGTGCCGTGGAGCTGCTGTTCCTCATGCGCATGGGGAGGAGGAGGAGGGGCGGCAAGGTTGACGACGGCGTCCTCCCGAGGCCGGGCCCTGTCCATTCATCCACGCCTCCATACTGGACACTACATCCGTCCATCCATCCATGGGGGCCTGCTGCCAGGTCGCGGAGGTCCACCGCCGCGTGACCGCCGCATGGAGAGCGCCCGCCCTTGGCGCCCTCCTCCTCATGTGGGTGTGGCCCGTCGTCTCTCTTCTCTACGATGCGCTGGGGGGGCAGGGCAGGGCGGGGATGGACAGACTCCCGATATCGCCTCGGGAAGCGACCCCGAAGGTTGTTGGCAGGCGCGTTGTGGCCGTTTCGTCGACGCACGGCCCACGGGGACGGGAGCGGCCCAACGGGTGCCGATATAGGACACGCGGGCCAAGATACAGCATGTACTTTGTACGTCCACGGGCGTAAAGTCTAAAAGTCGACGCTGCTCCTCCTGGTACATTACCGTACAGTATGCCTTTTGCTTTCATCCTTGCCCCTTTTCTCTTGTCCCTCTCTTCCTTCCTAACATCCCTCCTCTCTCATCTCATCCCCTCTCTCGCCCCGCCGCCATGCCGTCTCTGAACCGATGACATTCACCAGGCCCGTTCTGCCGCGGCGATCCATACATCCATCCATTCGTCCCACCCCATGGTCCATCCAGCGCATGTGAATGAGGAAGGCGAAGGGAGGGCGCATGCGCCGCCGGTCTGTGTGTGTTGCATGTGTGTGTGTGTGGCCACGACGATAGACGATATGCTTAGACCTCCGTTTTATCAAAGTCTTACGTACCCGTTGCCTCTGCCCCTGGAACACCGAATCTGAGATAAAGAGAGAGACACAGAGGCGCTCGCGCGCGGAGAGCAATAACTCTGGTCTAATGGAAACTCGAGATGGGTGGTCGGAAGGAGCTGGCGCCGCCGGCGTGGCGTCCGGGGTAATACGTGGGGCGCGCGTGCCCGGAACGGCTGCTGCGCTCGCTCATCTCGCCCTCACCTCACCCTCGTTCCGCCTTTGCAGGGGGAAAATTTTTCCCCTGGAACAGGATTTACCTGTCCGCGTGATGAGAGTTGAGAGTTCCCTTGTGTCGTCTGGGTGGCGGCGGCTGGCGGTCTGGTCTGGTGGCGGGCAACGTTGCACTTTCAAGACTCATGCTTTCAAACCGGTCAAGTTCAGCTTTGGGATGTTGCGTACGAGGGATTGGAGGACTCCCGGTGTGATGAACTCGTATGTGCATCCCGCGCTCCGGCCGCGGCGTCGAGTGCCGAGAGGGCTGTCCGAATGCCGCTGGGTTTGTTGCTCTCTTCCTCATCCTCATCCTCCAGAGCTCCTGAGTCCCGAAGGGGAGCGAGACCGAGTCCTTGGAGCAGCATAACAGAAGCAAGGGGAGCTCTATGATCTCGTACGTGCGTGTAAGGGGATGATATCAACACTGCCTCCATCGTTCGTTCCGGTCGTCAGCATGTACTCGGACTTGGCCATCAGCCCAATTCATGTCGCCGGTCACCTATTTGCCATGCCGCCCCTCCCCTCTTCCCTCGCTTCACATCGCCTCACATCGCCTCGCCAGCCCTGCTGCTGCAGCTTAAGCTCGGCGCCAGCATCGTATCGCATCGCAGCCCAGTTTCAGTTCCAGTTCCAGCCCCAGTCCCAGCCCAGCGCGGGCCACCACCACCACATTCAACACATGCTGCCAGAATGAAAATGTTCCGGTCCCATCCATCCCCCACCGCCAGCGCCAGCCGCCCGCTGCAGATGTGTGCGTCCGCCACGCGCCGATTCGCTGCAACCCCGCTGCTCGATCTGGGCCCCCGGTCCCCCCGTCCCCGGGTCCCAGCCCGTTTTCCGCTTCCCTGCGCATTCCCGTTGATGGACCCTATGACTCTCCCGCCGCCAGAAGTACTGCGTCCAAGTCCATGTGTTTTCAACTTTGGTCCTCGCAGGAGGGCCCCATCGGCGCGCCGCTCATTACCTGTTGCTTATCCGCTTACTGTCTGCTGGTGCAGTTGCTGCCAGCCGCCGTTTACCCCTCCTACGTCCAGCACCCAGCGGCTGGCGGGAAGTGGGGTACGTACTCGCAGCCGCCGAAACAAAACAAAACCTACCCGCCGCGCGACCAATGACGTCAATCCCTCTTCTCACTCCCACGTTCCCCGTATAAGTCCCGTGCACGCTCACGTGATGCAGCCGCTGGCAACAAAGCCCCAGGAACCAATCGGCTCGTCTCCACCGCGGCACCCCCCGCCGCCGCCGCCGCCGCCCAACGACAACACCCCCTGTCTCTTATACACATCTCCGCCATCCAGCCCATCCCCGCACCACACACGCGCGCGCGAGAGATCCGCCCGCCGTGCCGCCGTCTGCCGCCGCCCGCCGATGCCGATGCCGATGCCGCCCGGGGGCCCCACTCTCGTTCCGGAGCAGCACCAGCGCAGCCCAAGCCCTCAAGCCCCCTCCCCCCCCATGCAGGCTAGCGGGGGCAGCGACGAAGAAAAGCAGCCGCGCAGCCGCCCAACGAAACAGTCGCATCTCTTCTGACTGCGGTAAACATAAACACCTGTCTTGCCTTGCACTCGAATACTTTCTCATCGTGTTGCGCAGGTTGGAAGCCGATGTATGCGATGGCTTCTGTGTGTGTGCGCGCTGCCCCTGGCCGCCGAAGAGCCACCCAAAACCGCCAACGTGGCCAACCTACCTCCCCCCGCTTCGGCAGTTGCGCGGGCCGTTCGTTACAAGGCTTCGTCGCCAGCGCAGCCTAACCTAACCTACACCCACCATCCGCGTAGAACCCAGGCGCGCACGATCCGTCGCAATCGCTGTACACTCCTGCGCCTAACGGAAACGCGACGCGGAGGCACAGGACATGATACCACCTACCTGCTATCCATCAACCGGGGCTGGGCGATCTCTGCGAACTTGGCCGGATCAGTTGCGTGTGAGCCACCTGCGATACTTCATCGTGGGCGTGGTGCGCATGCGTTTTCACCTACGGGTAGGTAAGGTAGATTAGTAGATAACCTCGCCTCCGCAGTGCGCGCCAGGTGAGCACTCACCGCCTCGCTATCCCGGCGTCGCATGCAATGCATGACGCGCATCAGCGTTCGCCTCGCAGCCCGTCCCAGCAACGACGGCTCGGCACGCGCCGTTTGCGAAAAATCCGACCATGCGCGCGCGCGAGTGCATCGACTCCTATGAGGTCGCGTAGAATGGCCCGCGGCGCCAAACCTCTAGGCACAGCAGCGTAAATCTGCGTCGCGACATGTCCAGGGCACGAGGGAAACGAGCTTGAAAATTCACATGTAGCATTGATGGCTCCGCGGCCAACTAGGTACCGACCGAGACGTCAAGGAAAAATCGACCGGCAACAGACAGGATAAAAGACAAGAGAAAAAAACTCAAAATAGGACAAGCCGCCCCGTTTCTCCCCGCCGCCGTCGCCATCGCCGTCGCCATCGCCATCGCCGCCCCGTTCCTGGTGTGGTGTCGTCTACACCAAGCCAGCATCCCCCGCTGCCCGTTTCGCCGTGACAAACTCTCCGTGGGAAAAAGCGGCAAAGGAAAACGCATACAGGCAACTACCCGCGAGAAGAACCCGCCTGCCCTCCCAAAAGACAACAGGCACCTGTCCCTGATCCGTCCATCCTACAAGGCGCGCCGCACGCGATGGGCAACACGCCCCGCGGCGGCCAGCTCTCCTCCTCCCGAGATCCATTCGGAAAGGCACTTTTCCAAGGCTCACACCACTCGTCCGTCCCTGGATTTTCGTCACCGTCCGCAACCCTCACCAGCGGCAAGGTACTGTGGCTCGTCCACTGTTGGGCTGGAGGGATGCGATCCCCACGCCCAACTGAGGCGCCCTCGCCGTCTGAACCCCTCTCCGAGCAGGGGCAGTCCGCCATCGAGACGGGATAAAAAGGAGAAAATAAAGACATGAAACCAACGACCTTTGTTGTTGTTGGACTGCGCCTGCCCTCTTCTTCGCAACGCCTGGTGAAAAGGAACGTGAATGGTCTTGCGCAGACCTGCAATAATTACAAACCGCCTAGAAGAGTCATGAAAAGAGCCCATCCCGGAAACAACACAAGAGGCGGAACCCTCTCCATATGTGTGGTGGTCAAGTTTTGAGGGCGCACGCCCTGACCGTTTATGTAGGCGAAGCGCTTTTTCCGTGTACAGCGAAGCCTGCCTGTAAACGCCGTCGAGATACCGCTGCGAGCCAGCAAGAACAAAACAGACATTGCGCGCGGACGCCCGAGTCGAGAGGCACGAGAACGGCTACCGCTTGCGCTTCTTGTTCTTGTCGGTATTTGTCAAGGCAGTGGTGAGGATGGGAGCGGCGGGCAGCAGGGCTGGCTGAGGCATGACCACGGCGCCCTCTTCCTTCTTGATTGGGACGCCCATGTGGCGACCGTAGCGGCCCTTGCGACCATTGCCTTCGTCCTCGCTGATGCACTGATCCGCCGAGAGACCGGCGTCGCGGCAGCGGCCGCAGGGACGCTGGCGGTCACATCCCTTCTTGCTCTTGCGGCATCGCTGGCAGCGGGGCTTGGTGGACAGGTCGGGCTCATCGTCGCCAGGCTGGCCGATGTGGCCGACAGAGGCCACGGACTGCTTGCGCGAATGGGTGGTGGAGACGGGGGACATGGGACCGGTGGCCGGCGTGGTGGGCAGCTTCTTGGTCTTGATGCCAGTGGGCTTGGGAGCCTTGGGCGGCTTCTGCGACGGCACCTTGGGAGCCGCGACGGAGGTGGGCTTGGGCTTGGTGGACGACGGCTTCTTGAGGAGGCCGTTCGCCGCAGCCTTCATAGACTCGCCGAGAGCATTGGCGCTGTCGTCGTAGCCGGCATCGCTGCCGCCGACGGTGCCGCCCTCGGTGGTGGGGATGAAGTGCGCCTCAGTCGTCGGGTATATCCGCTTGACACCGCCGGCGGCGTCCAGCTTCTGGCGGCGAGCAGCAGGCATATCGCCATCGCTCTCGCTCTCGCCGTCGCTAGTGGCGCCAGTGGACGAGGCGGCATCAGCGCGGCCACTGAAGGTATCGTCGAGGGTGGACGCTGAGGTCCGGCCATGTGAGACGGACGACTCGCCGAGCCGCATTAGCTGGAGGGCGACGTCCTTGTCCTCCTCCGACATGCAGCTGCCGACGGTAGGGTCGGGTGTCGGAAGCACGCCCATGCCGGTGCCGACGCCGCTGCCGTTGCTGGCATAGCCAATGCTGTTGCGGGAGCGGTGGCCATGAGAGGCAGGCGTGGCATACATATTGGAGTGGGCCAGACCACTGTGGTAGTTTTGCGGAGATTGCATCGGCCGGGGGTTCTGGAAGGGGTTCTGGCCAGGGTGGACAAATGGCATCGACGGCCGGTGGTGCTCGATACGGCGAGCCGGCGACACGGACGGGTTGGACGTCGCGGCCGGCATCTGAGGCGGCGCGAACAGCGGCAATTCCTGCGCGACGTTGTGCGGTTAGAAACTGCCGGGACTATGTGGGGATGGGGATGGGACATACCGAGCTCTCGAATTTTGCCCTCTTGCGACGGCCGCCCTCAACAATGTTCTCGACGCTGATGTCGGTGTTGCCAAGCTGCTCCTTGGTCTTGCCAGAGGCGGAGCTGGGGGCGCCATCGCCGCTGCTGTAGCCGTTCATGCTGTCGCTGTAGGCATCGGCGTGGCTGTGGGCGGTGGGCCGACGGCTCTTGACGGAGCGCGAGCGGCCGTTCTTGCTTGTGGTGCTGACCGACTCGCTCCTCCGGCCGCGAAGGGCGTTGGGAGACGGACTGCGGCGGCGCGACGTCGGGGAGCCGGGCTGGGCCATGTGCTGCTCCGCGCGATGCTGGGGCTGGGGGTGGTAGGCCTCGCCGTAGTAGGACTCGGGGGCAATGGTCGAGGGGTGATGGAAGGGATGGGGCGCAAAGACCGAAGGGCCTTCGTCGATGACGCGGACGTAGACAACCATATGGTCGTGGAAGTTCTCGTAGCGCGCGATGAGGGTGTTGCCCATGTCGTCCTCGAAGCTGACGCCCTTGGAGCTCGTCGGGCTTGAGTAGAGGCCATAGAAATTCTTGACCGTGGTGACAATGGAGTCGGTGGTGTCATGGGGGAAGATTTGCACACGCATGGGCAGGCGCGCGCGGTACTGGGGCGAGCTGGAGAACATGAGCTCGAATGCGACGTTCTTGGGCGGCGCCGCCTGACGAGGCGAGACGCTGTCGCCCTGGGACGAGGGCCCCGACATGGCGGCGGCAGCGGCGGTGTCTATCGGCGACATGGAAGCCATGACGCCTGGATAGAGAGGGTTATTGAGGTCGCCGGAGGGTTGTTTGTCGGCGTGCTCGAGAGGGGTTGCGGGCGGACGAAGATCAGGCCCAGGAGCAGCAGCCGTCGTGGCGGCGACGAGGATGGCGGTGCGGCGCTGCGCTGTGCGCTGCGGGTTTTGTGTGGGTGGACCACACGCCGGGACAGGCCCAGAACGCCCGCCTGAGCAGAGCGGCGCGGCGGTATCGCCCGGGACGAGCGTCGACAGTCTGGATCCGGCCAAACGGCCAGAAGTGTTTTATTTCGGTCGGGATGCCTCGCGATGACGCTGGCCGTCGAGCAGGAGACGACAGGGCGACACCACCAAGGCCGTGGGCGGTAAGCGCCAACCTGGGGCTTTTGTGTGTGCGAGTGTGTGTGGTGTCGGCTTTCCGGGCTTGCGCGGCGACGACGGGCGACCGTTTGGCGAGGGGACGAGGGCTCGAGGGGAAGCGGGCTGGAGACGGACGAGGCTCGTTAGCAAAGTCCAGCTCTTGGACGATCGGGATGAGGCAGAGAAGTGCGTCGCCAGGGCCGCCCGGCACCTGGCGACGGGGAGGGGGAAACGAGCGAGGCGCCCCGACGGCATCATCGCAGGACTGCCGGGCGAGGCGACGCAGGCACGACGGCGAGAGCGGGCACGGGGCCAGGGGCGGCGGGGGGATTTGGGCATGCGAAATCGAGGCAGGGGAGTGATCGCGCATGGCGATAGAGTCGATGGAACTCACCAGGGATGACAGGAGTGGTTTGGATGGTTGTCGATGGGCGGGCGAAGGCGAAAGGATGTGTGCATAGAGGGAAAAGAGGAGCAACTGGGCGAAGGTCGACCGATTTTGTCGCTGGCTGGCGGCGGTGGACCGCTGGGCCTCGCCGTCCTCGCCTGTGCTGCGCTGGAGCCGCTGCTGGTGCTGCTGGGAGGGCACCTCACCCACCCAGCTGGCGCCGGAACCGCTGGACTGGGCTGATGGGGAGGCTGCTGGACGGCGCCTACCTGCTGGCCTCTAGCACCTCGCTCACCCGTGGGTTGGGGCAGGCGCCGCAGCGGGCGGGCAGCACCAGTGATACAGTGAGGGCCCGTCCAGCGCGGCACAGTGCCGGCCAGCCAGCCAGCCAGTCAATCGATCAATGGGCAGCGCCCGTCTGGCTCAATGGAACTGCCGGGCGCGCCAGGGCACCACCACCGCTCGTTGGGCTAACGTAGCCGGGTGGGCAGGCAGGCAGGCCCAGTCGACACACAGTGATGAGTTCCATACTGAAGCTAGACTTGCGCCGCCCGTTCTACCCGACTCTTTCGCGCATGACCCAAGCCTCTTTGCGCGCAGCCTCGTCATCGACTGTCCCTCTCTCCCACCACCGCCCAGGCCAGGAACACATGATATCTAGATAGATGGATGGAGGACAGGCGCAGCTGTGGGCTGGGTCCAGCACGCAGTGGTGCTCCTCGTGCTGCTGAGGGCGGCCACTTGAGGGGGCCTGGCTGGCGACACGGCCCAAGAAACGACAAGACCCATGGTAGGTGCATGGCCACTGTGCGCCGGGTGCCCGCTGCCGATCACCTCAGTTGCGGGCTGGGCTGCACCCGCACCCCGACGTCAGCGCATCTGAGCCGACGGCGCTAACGGACATCCAATTGCTTCCAGGTTGAAGTGCGGGCAGCGGCCCAGCCCAGACCAGCCCAGTCTGTCCGTGTGTACTAGGTTAAAAGCTGCCTTGCATCGAGGCACGGTATGGATGCCCGCAATCAAGCTGGGCTGCCCGCCTGGGTCACAGTTTGTGGGTACAGTGCCAGGTGCCGGCGCAGGCACTTTGGGGCCCTGGGCTGGTGCCAGACTCGCCCGCTGCGAGGTCCCAAGGTATGGAAGGCCTAAAGGCCTGCTTCGTAGCACCATCCCCAACAACGTCGACGACGTCGGACAAGAGCCAATGCCGCCCAATTCGGCGCTCCCGTCGACCGCGACTCCGGGAAGGCCATCAATGCGGCCGTTGCTCGCACCCCGGCGCGATGCGCCAGAGCTTGGGCTCCCACGCCGACACCTCGACGGGACGGGGATGGGATGGGCTTGGGATGGCATGGGGCTGCCACAGGTGGAGGAGGGACCCGGCTGGCATGTTGGGTGGATGGGATGGGCTGGGATGGGATGTGGGATGGGATGGGGACCGGCTACCTACACGCACACACTCGCACGCACACGCACACACACACACCACACCACACTCGTTGCGACGTGCTAACCTACCTTGTTGATGCGCCCTCGCTGCGACTCCATGGTGCGCCAGCCGGGTCTGGGTCTGGGTCTGGGTCTGGGTGCCCAGTCGGCAACCGCAACGCCAACGTCAACAGACGGTGAGCATGGAGAGGAGCCCGGCGGCCAAGGGGGGGCGCGACGTCTTGCCTCTCTGCTCTCTGCTCTCTCTCTCTCTCTCTCTCTGTGCTCGCAACAACTCGTCAACACCTCAAGCAACAGCTGATAAAGAACCCTCCGCCGTTTCCTCTTGCTCGCGCGCGCGCCCTGTGACCCTCCCACGAGCTAAACGAGGCCTCAGTAGCGGGCTCAACAAACCCATCCATTCGCACCGCTGGGCTCCCAGACCGCCCGCTGGCCACCCAGGCGCCGGCCCAGGACGCCACCGGCCGATGCGCCCCTCTCCCGCCTCTCCCTGTCTGTCTGCTTGTCCGTCCGGCTCGTACTGTACGGCACGGCACTGTAGGTAATAGCGGAGAAGCGGGAAGCCTGTACGGCGCAAAAGGTACATGCCTCTGCTGCTGGCCGACCAAGGTGTAAATAACCTTACGAAAGTAGGCGCAAGGCAGGGCGTCTCTTCATCTCCTGCTTCGCTGCACTGCGCTGCGCAGGCGGGCCCGGACTCTTCACGCATGGCGCCCGCCTGCCCGCCTGCCCCCCTTCTCCGCTCCAGCAGGCGTTTCAACGTGCCGTCTCCGGCTCGGCTCCCATGCCCCCATGGCCACCATGCCCGTCAGTCACCTCGCCTCACTGATCAGGCAGGGCAGTGCAGGTCAAGGCTCGACACCAGCCTCCTGCGACCGAGTCGGGGACGTGGTTCCGGGGGTCCGTGGCAGCAGCACGAGCAGGAACAGCGCATCATCCACCCGCGCGTGCACCCACCACCCGCGCACAAGCTTTGTCCGCCACGCCTCTCCGTTGGCTGGATGCCCGTCCGTGGATCCATCTCTTCCCTGACCCGCAGCTCCGGCAAGCAAATGGCAGCGCGAGGCCCTTCTCCGCAGGCCGGCCTGGGTTGGAGCAGCGTCGCTAGCCCGCCTTGGGGGCGCATTCCTGGTCCCTCACCTCACCTCACCTCACCGCAAGGCGCCCATTGTCGCATCCGGGCTGCTGCTGCGCGCCTGCTCCCGCTCGCCCAGCCTGTCTTGCGAGAGCGAGCGCGCGCCCCTGGGCGCATCGCAGATGGCGTCGCGAACAGGAGTCGAGTGGTTCACCCTCGTTCATGCCCAGAGACGGGCGAGCGCACGACCTCGTCTGGATCTCGGAGCGCTGCGGGCCAATGGTGTCCACGTCGGCCGTCCCAGAGCCGCCCGTTTTCTCCTGCAAAGGCAGGGGTCACAAATGCGACGAGCAGAGAGAGAGAGAGAAGGTGTGTGCCAGCCTGTCTGCCAGCCAGCGTGTGTGTGTGTGCGCATTCTGCGTGTGCGCGCGCTTGTGCGTCCGACTGGCGGGGATTCCGAACCGTCGTCTGCGCTCGCTCTCTGACTCTCTCTCACTCTGCCGAGCATGAGAGAAGGAAGCAGGTGAGGCATGAGGATCGGATGCCGCCTCGGCCGGCGCAAGACAAGCAACGAGCCCAGTTGAGACATGGTCAGCTCGGCTCCAGTGACTCAGTTAGTTGGCGATGCGACTGGGCGCAAACCACCGCAGAACCGCTCGTCATGGGGCGGGCGCACGCTTTTGCCTCGTCGTCACGCACCCGTTCTCTGGCTGGCCCGAGCGGCGTCGCGAATCCCACCTACCTACCTGCATGGACCCGTTATTGCCCCCTCGTAGGCTCCGTAGACGCCAACTCGTCGTTCCTGGGGTTGGCCGCGCTCACGCTCTCGACCGACTGGCCTGGCGCAGGGCTCTGGCTGGCTCTGTCGTCGCGTCTCCATCATGGCAAACTCATTCTGTCCTGCCTTTCCGGCCGGCGCTCGTATACCAGATATTAGGCGCGAGTCGCCCTCTTTCAGTCGCACGCCCCGCCCGAGTTTCAGCCCCCCGGCCTGAGTGGCCTCAGACAACCTTTCTGGCAGTCGTTCGTTACCGCCGTTTTTGGGTTGTGATACCAGGTCGCATCGGATCGAGCGACGGCGCCGCTCGAGGTTTGGTGCCAATTCGCGCCGCGCCGCGCATGACAGCGCATCCAGTTGCCTCCACGGTGCTTTCGTCTGGGCATTTGGGCAGTCCAGGATCCCTGCGTCAAGATCTAGCGGAGGCACCAGGAGGACCACGGCATCTGCGCATGTCTATGGCGGGGTGGAGGGGTCCCTGGTCTCCATGCAACTGCTCGCGGGCGCAAGGTACGAATCAGAGCTCAACGACCACCACGGATACTTCGCACCAAGGTTGGCGTTGGTCCTCGCTGACTCCTCCCGACTGCGCCGTCGTGGGTGCATTTTCTCGTCCGTCACCGCCGCAGGCCGGCCTCATCCGCGCCAGCGTCTCCGGTCGCATGTAGCCTCCCGGGGTCAAATCAGGACGACGGCCACGGGTCTGGGTCGCCACTCGTGCGAGGCACCTGTCGGCCTTTGTTGGCGGCGAACACACATCAATGAGTGGCGTGGCATGTGTGCCCGGTGCATTCAACGTCGCACACTGGTGCGAGACAGCGCAGGCAGGATGATGTCGCATGATGCGCGAGCAGTTGGAGATATTCTCGGCTGGCCGCGAGCTATGGCGCGCAAGGTTGGCAGCCTTGCAATGAGTCAGGCGCAAGGGAACAGCGTGCGCCGACCAGGATCGCCCTGGCTGGGCTGCGCGCAATGGAGAGCGCAATCGTGACAACCCGTTGTCATGTGTCTAATGAGGAGCTGTCCAGACAAGGAAGCGTTTGGCATGCAGGCTGGTGCTCACGCTTTGCCGACGGGTCCGGGGGGCGTTCGGGGCAGATCCGCCTCATCAGCTGTTATCGCAACATCACATCACAGACGGCGGCGGCGGGCATCCCTTCGATCTCAGGCATGTCGTGGACTGGGCGGTGGGCCTGGCGCACGCGGGAACGGCAGCCTGTTGGCACGGGCGAGCTTGGCTCTGCCGTTGACACAAGCAAAAGGTCCCGCTTGCGACGGCGCCGTCCAATGTCCATCAAGGGACTCTGGGCCAAGCATCCGTCGACATGACATCGGGCCTTTGCGATTCGAGTCGAGCGCTCTTCTACGACGGACGTGGTGCGGGCATGTTGCTGCGCGAGTGCCATCATCCCCAGGTATCGATTTGCTGGCGCCCGCCTGCAGGGGCAGTGGTTCCCTGACAGATCGACCGAGTGGCACGACCTGCTGGTGGATGCCGTCGGCAAGACCACAGCGCGCCGAGGCGGGCGATGGGCCCAATGAATCGGAGATGGCGTCCGCAGCGGAAATGGGTGTCTCTTGTGGTCGAATTGTGTCGCGCCGCGGTGGGTAGCCTGGAAGCAAAAAACGGGTGGCTTTGTTGAGCATCTCTAGCGCGAGCGGTGGTGTAAGGGGGGAGGGATGGCATCGCATCGATGGATACCTTGCTCGGTCGGGAATACGGACACAATGCCAGGCCGAGGGGTGTTGTTTGGCGCACAAATAGACGAAGGAGCTCGAAGCTGCTCGCACGTCGCGGACAAGCGCCGTGTTGCGTCGCAAGTGTTTGGCTTCGACCCCCAGCCATGGCCGCGAGCGAGCGCGAGCATGAAACACTGGCCTGGCTGGACGCGCCGTCAGCGCACTGCGTCGCCACGTCCGGGCGCCTGCAAGAACGCACCTCCGAATCGAGACGTCGATCGACGGCCGCCCAGCGATGGAGGCTAAACGAATGCGCGGAGCAGAAAAGGCAGCGCGCAGCCCCGAGCGCCATGTTTCGCGGCATTGTCATCGGTGTCCGGCCAGCGACGGAACCAGGCACTGTGCGACAGTGCGAAATTGGCGGAGCTTGGATCACGTGAGTCCGCGTCAGGGTGGCGCGTTTGCCCTGGCACTCCTCCCACGCGTGCCGAAATGTTGCTTTGGCGGGAGGGCTTGCCGCGCCTTGCAGTACTTTCGCTTGAAAACTTGCTCACATATGGTCCCCCAGTGCTGGATTATACCCTCGCAGATTTTTGGCTTGTCAACCTTGAGGGCGCATTGCTGTCATTACTTGTATGCTTTTTGGCCATTTCATGAACTGGTCAGTGAGACGCGATCGCTAAGCGAGCGCAGCTAGATTGGGACTAGCGCCGAAATGCATTTTGGCCCCGGAAAATCGTCATCGCCGGGACGACAGGCCTGGACATGGCAGTGGCGCGCCGGGACCGCTGGGTGGCCCGTGCGCCACATACCATTTCCGTCCAGGTACGTACCCCTTGCCTTAAGCCGCCGGCTCAGGTGCAGCGCCAGCGCTCACCGTAGTGCATGAACGTGCTGTGCTGCGCTGTGGCTGACTGGCGGGCTGGCAACGCCAGTGTTATTTCGGGCATAAGCCATAAACAAACAAACAACTTGACCGCTGAACAGCACCAGCACCATCAGCCTTTAATCCGCCACCGCTCCATCCCGCTCCATCCCCACGGCCCATTCGACACCACACGCATCGCATCACAACGTCGACAGGGCACCGGCGCCGCTCGACAAGCCACGGATCGGAGAGGCACAGTCGCCTTGCACCAGACTTCGACGCGAACCCAATCTTGCGCTTCTTCTTCCTCTCCTGAGCCCGTCTGCAAGCATCGTGGCCGCCCACTCCCCTGCGCCACTGAACAAACCCTGCAGGGCCCAATCTCGCCTTTCCCCCGGGAGATTTGATGCCACTGCACCCTCTCCGTTTGAGCCGCGACTCGCCTCTTGCAACGTGCCGTGTGCGCAATTCCGTTTCGGTCGCCCTCTCCCCTTCCTTTTGCCGCTGCGGAGCCCCCAGGGCCTTTGGAACCTCCTGCTTCACTTCCTGCGGCCACCGACGCTTGCCTCGCCTCGAGCCCGTGTCTGACCGTTGGACGCTTCTCCGACGAACAAGGATTGCCGGGCCTCCCCAATCTCGTCTGACGACTCTCTGAACTCACGCGCTCTCAAACTTTCCACGGGGGCTCCAACGCGTGTTCTCGCGTATCGACGACCGCTCCGCCGCCCAAGCCTCCACGTTCGTACGCGACCGGCCAGGGGGGAGATTAAGTTCGATTTTATGACATTTCGACGCGATTAAGGGCTCTCGTCACGGCCCTGCCGCTCCACGGCCTCTGCTTTCCTGGGGAGCCATCGCGCCAAACAGCATCAACATTTATTTCTAAGTGCCTTAGTGCGGTTCTTCCACGATGGACGCTCGGGTGAGTTTGATAGCGCCACAACTTTGGCTGCCACGCGTGACGTCCTCGTCAACCGGCGTCCAAAGTTTCGTCGCGTCTTGTCAAGTCCACAAAGCTGACGTCTTGCTCAGCCTTTCCGACCCCGTGGGTCAGAGAACATTGTTCCTTCCATACACCATCGACATAGATCGACTGGAAACCTCACTTCTGTGCCTGCACCCGCTACCGGCTTCCGAGGACCAGCCAAACGCGCTGCCTTTGGCGATGTCACCAACTTGACCAAGAATACCGCGGGCGTTCGAGACGACGCGAAGGCGACCAAGGTTCAGTCCGTGGTGCTCCCTCCTCGTCACTCGCATCCCGTGGGTGTGGTGAACAAGGAAAACATCCCGTACAACAGCAAGGACGCTTTCTCGCGCCCTGCGCAACGAAACGCCGTCCTAGCCAGCAAACCCAAGCCGGTCACTGACGCCCGGCCGCCCGAGGCAGCAAAGCGGCCCGTGGCGTCCGCCGGCTCTCTCGACACACGCGACTACCCAGGCCAGGGCGATTTAGTCGTTCCACAACAGAAGGGTCTGACCGAGGCCGACAAAGCAGCCGACCTGTTGATTTCTCAGGCGCTCAACGAGGGCCTGCCTCTGCAGCCGCGACATCACAAAAGCCAGCCGCAGTTGAAACCGCAACAGCCAACCCTGCGCCGGACTCAAAGCAGGCAGCTCGAGCGGGTAGACGTGGCGGCCACTGATCGGACAGCGAATGGAAGCATCGACGAGATAGGCACTCTCTCCCGCCTGGGCGACCGCACCTCCGCCTATCCTCCACTGCCCTACACTGCCGGCACCTACGATCCTCTGCCGGAGCCGAACCACAGCGAGGCATACGTCGACGTGCACGCCAGGCTGCCTGAAATCTCGGAGGAGCCTTACCACTCCGCCGTTTCGTACCGAGAAGGCCAGACGCCTGGTCTTTCAGAGCCTGAAGAGTGGGACGAGGAAGACGACGAGGACTACGACGACCAGGACCAGGCCTACACGACCGCGCATTCGTTCCGGTCGCGCGACCTCACTACTGGCGGTGTTACAACACTTTTGGCCCCCCGGATCACCTCTCGCGTGCAGCGGGAGCTCGAAGAGGCCAAGATGGAGGTTGAGCGAACCCGCCCCGCGGAGGACATCGAGGACGAGATGTGGGATATCAGCATGGTTGCCGAATATGGCGACGAAATTTTTGAGTATTTCCGAGAGCTCGAGGTGAGCACCCGAATATTTCCTACGAGCGTGTCCTATTTGCTGACTAGCCTTCCTTCTACAGATGAAGTTGCTCCCGAACCCTCACTACATGGAGATCCAGACCGAGATTCAGTGGTCGATGCGATCGGTCCTGATGGACTGGCTGGTGCAGGTGCACAATCGGTTTAGTCTGCTGCCTGAGACGCTCTACCTCACGGTCAACTACATCGACCGCTTCCTCTCTTGCAAGGTCGTCTCCATCGGCAAGCTGCAGCTGGTCGGAGCGACGGCGATCCTGGTGGCGTCCAAGTACGAGGAGATCAACTGCCCCTCGCTGGAGGAAATCGTCTATATGGTAGACGGCGGCTACAGCGTGGAGGAGATCCTCAAGGCTGAGCGCTTCATGCTCAGCATGCTGGGCTTCGAGCTCGGATGGCCGGGACCTATGAGCTTCCTCCGGCGCGTCAGCAAGGCGGACGACTACGACCTGGACACGCGCACGCTGGCAAAGTACTTTCTCGAGTTGACCATCATGGACGAGCGCTTCGTCGCCTCGCCGCCCAGCTTCCTGGCTGCCGGGGCCCACTGCCTGTCGAGGCTGATTCTGAACAAGGGTGACTGGGTAAGTGGTCCTTATGCTGAATATGTCGGACGCGGCTAACGATGAGCAGACCAAGCAGCATGTCCACTACTCGGGGTACACGTGGGTGCAGATCAAGCCGCTCGTCACCATGATGATTGAGTGCTGCGAGAACGCCGCCCTGCATCACTCGGCCGTCTACGAGAAATACAAGGACAGACGGTTCAAGGAGGCATCGAAGGTTGTGCAGCGGGCCCTGGACGCGGGCTTCAAGCTGCCGCATCAGAACATCCCCGTCCGCGCCAGCCGCTCGCGACCGGTCCGCGTCGAGCAGCATTCTACTGAGTGCGCCTCCTACACAAACGGGCTCCTGGTTTCCACCGAAGGATGACTTACAGCCTAAGCGCCACGCATGCATGCCCCGTCGTTTTGAAGGAGTACTGTGACCAAGCTGAATCAGGCCGACCCTTTGCAACAACAACCAACTCACACTGGCCTCATCCTGGTGTACGGCAGACGAGACGGGAAAACCCCAGGCATAATGGTAACACGTCGAGTCGACGGTGGCATCATCTCCCCCCCGCGCCGGCCCAAAACAACGCTCTGGGCCATCGCAAATACATCTTAACGACATTCATGAACTATTTTCACATTTTTTCTAAGCGAGGGTTCGGCAGACGAAACCGCGTGCTCATATCCGGCGTTTAGAGGACATGATGGTTTAGAGGCGAGAGGAGCTCTGGAAAGAAGCTCGTTCTCCGAAGGTGCGCTGGGACGGGAAAGGATAGAGCTCCCGCCGAGGGAGATGGGGTGTCGGCGTCAAGAGGCATGGAAGGGAGGAGAGGAGCGACGAGATGGTAGCCGAGCATGCGGCCCGCTTGCCACGATGTATGGTATGGAGTATAATGACCTCGGCGCGGGGTGGCTACATAACTTGAATGACTTGGAGACCCCAGGCAGAGCGCGCGAATGATCAATTTCATGTCGTGACAGGATGGACGCGATCCTACTAGGGACTGCTGCCGTTACTGGCAAGGTATGTAGCAGCATTGAGCCGCTCGCGCACATCTCGCTGAGGCCATTGATCTATCGGTGCAGCCCGGCGGCGGCGGAGATGAAACAGGGCAGGCAAGCGCAGCCGCGCAAACAAGATTGAAGCTCTGGGGCATGGAGCGCAGTGGAGCTCCCGTCCAGGTCCGGAAACGTCCAGAGCGAGTACATGACGAGTACCTCACACGACCTCACACGAGCATCTCGCTCCCTTGGTGCGGCGCGGGTACTTCCGACGTACCTCGCAAGCCCCAGCCGCTCTGTTATGCCATGCCAGGTGCTCTGGCCCGGCCAGGAGGTGCCCACAGCACTGAGCGCTGGGCTCCCGGTGCTGGGATTTTCGCCGGGCATGCCGAGCCATCACCGTCCGGGGCTTCTCGACAGCACCAGCACCAGCAAGCAGCGGCCCTGCGCAGCACGTGGAGAAAAGGGGGGGACCATCCGTTCGGGGCCCACAAATGGGAGGTCATGCGGTGCGTTGAGCGTGGAAATGGCGCCGAAACGAGCACGAGCAGCGCACCGCAGGCGCATGTTTTGCGAGGGTTTTGACACGCGCGCAATCGGGTATTTTCTTCCAACGGTGTTCCGGCAGATGAGGAGGATGGGTGGTGGTGGGTGTCGTCTGCGCCCATCTGCACGCGACGGCATATGCATAAAATGGATGGTACAATGCCTTGCGTGCCGAACGACGATGAGACGCAGCACACGTCCATCAATCAGGTACATTACTTGGTAGCTACTTATCCCGTCAGTCGGTCGGTCGTCTCGGCGCGGCGCGGCTGCGGCCTTCGGCACGGAGCTGGGGCCAAATCCAAGTCCCCGATCCTCGGCACCGCTGGTCAATCTCCAATGGGGACCCCCTGTCACATGGATGCATCTCAGCGACCGGGAGCCTGGTGCTGTCGGTTTGACGGACGGGCGCCTGGAACCCGCGGACCGCCACCCCTGGAGAAAGGCGCGGCGGTGGAGGCTCCAGCGGACGGGACCACTGGCACCCCCTCTCCAAGTCCGCTGGGCATGATAGCGCTTCCATCCTTGCCCTGGGGGACTTTCCGGGGCAGGAATGCGCCGGCGCAACGTAAATCCGGGGAATTTCGCAGGCGACCAGGCCCTCCAGGTGCCTGCGATAGAACCTGGAACCCACCTGGCACCTGCAGTGGGCAGCCAGCGCGGCTTGCAGACCGCCCTCCCGCCCTGAAGGGTCTNCCCCCCTGGTCCTCGCGGGCCCCCCGACTTAGGAGGCGCCTTCCTCCAGGTACACACGAGCCCCAGCCATTTGACTCGCTGAATCTCGTGCCATCCATCCCATCCCATCCATCCATCCCGCCTCCAATTGAGTCAGGAATATTTTTTTCTTCGCCGCCGCCTCACCTCCTCGACCCTTGCGCGTCGCCTCCCCCCCTACGAACCCCTTCGCGTTTGCGATCGTTGTCCTTTTTTGTGTTGCCTTGCGCGCATTTGGTTACCGACGCCTGTCGTCGCTTGTATCGTTTCTGCGCGAGAACAGACCCTCGCGCCCTTTTTTTTTTAAACCCCAGCCGCAGAGCAGCGTTGGTCGGCTCCCCCGAGGCGACCCCGGTCTGGCATTTGTGACGGGACTCGTGTCCTCCTCACCCTTCCAACACGGCGCCCACACCCCCCCGGTCGCGTGTTTCTCTCTGACGAAGCGACGACGAAACGCCAACACGACGACGAGACGAGCCGCCTCCCGTTTACGGTGGTGACATAGGGTTGTCGTACCTTGAGCGTCCCTCCACCCGGCAAGACCGCGTCGTCTAGCCAGCTAGCCAGCGAGCCAGCCACCATGTCAAAGGCCGCGGCTGTCAAGGAGGCCGTCAAGGAGTCCCTCGTGGGCCACGACGAGCCGGTCCAGCTCTCGGCCCAGACCAAGGCGCGCTTCGCCAGCAATGCCGTCAAGGACCCCGAGACCGGCGAGCTGTATATGGGCCCCGACGAGTTCATCAACGCCGTCGCCCCAAAGAACGAGGATTATGTGAGTATCTATCTAGCCTCCCGGCGGAAGCATCGTGCGCGCGCTCGAGCACGTGCAACCGCGCAAGCTTCGCAGCAGAACACGGCGTCAGCCAGAGACGAAGGCGATTTGAGACCGGCAGGCTGACCACGAGGCGCGCAATCCGCGCGCGCGGCCCCACGCATAGCACAAAATCAAGCGCGAGCAGTACTCGATCTTGTTTCGCGTCGCCGACAGTAAGGGCAGCGGCCGCGTTAACCTGACCGACTGGGGCGTCTTCGAGAACCTCCTCCTCAAGCCCGACGCCGAGTACGAAATCGCATTCCGCCTCTTCGACGTCGACCGCACTGGCACCGTCAAGTACGAAGATTTTCGCAAGCTCTACGAGCTCAACAAGGGACCCGACAACATTCCCTTCGACTGGGACTGCGAGTGGGCCAAGCTGTACATTGGCAGCCATAAGAAGCGCCATGACTTGAGTTATCCCCAGTTCGCGCAGATGCTGCGCGGCCTGCAGGGCGAGCGCATTCGCCAGGCCTTCCAGCTCTTCGACAAGGACGGTGACGGCTACGTCAACCCCGAGGATTTTGAGCGCATCATCCTCGAGACGGCCAAGCACAAGCTCTCCGACCACCTCCTCGCCAACCTCCACACCCTGTGCAACATTTCCAGCAGCAGCAAGGTCTCGTACGCCAACGTCCGCGCCTTCTTGAATATGATCAAGGAGATGGACCTGGTCGAGCTCATTGTGCGCCGCGCCGTCCTCCGCAGCAGCGACGGCAAGATCACCCGCTCCGAGTTTGTCAACGAGGCCGCCAAGGTCACCCGCTTCTCCCTCTTCACGCCCATGGAGGCCGACATCCTCTTCCACTTTGCCAGCATCGACGAGCCCTCGGGCCGCCTCGGCCTGCACGACTTCGCCAAGGTCCTCGACCCCTCGTGGCGGAGCCCCGTCTACGACACCGACGAGACCGCCATGGGCGCCCTGCAAAAGGCGACGACCAAGAAGGCGGCCTTCCTCCAGCAGGCGCTCGAGTCCACCTTTAACTTTGCGCTCGGTAGTTTGGCCGGTGCTTTCGGTGCTTTCATGGTGTACCCCATCGATCTCGTCAAGACTCGGTTACAGAACCAGCGCGGCGCGCAGCCCGGCCAGCGGCTGTACAAGAACTCGATCGATTGCTTCCAGAAGGTGTTCCGTAACGAGGGACTCCGCGGCCTGTACTCTGGCGTGCTGCCGCAGCTCGTCGGTGTCGCGCCCGAAAAGGCCATCAAGCTGACGGTCAACGACCTTGTTCGCGGCCACTTTACCGACAAGCAGGGCAAGATTCACTGGGGCGCCGAGGTTCTGGCCGGTGCCAGCGCCGGTGGTTGCCAAGTCGTAAGTACCTCTGCCATGCGCAGTCCGTTGTCATTGTGCTCACTCCTTGTGTCAGGTCTTCACCAATCCCCTCGAGATCGTCAAGATTCGCCTGCAGGTGCAGGGCGAAGTTGCCAAGACGGTCGAGGGCACCCCAAAGCGATCGGCCATGTGGATCGTGCGCAACCTGGGTCTCGTGGGCCTCTATAAGGGCGCCTCGGCATGCCTGTTGCGCGACGTTCCCTTCTCGGCCATCTACTTCCCCACCTATAGCCACCTGAAGAAGGACTTTTTCGGAGAGTCGGCGACGAAGAAGCTCGGCGTGCTCCAGCTCCTGACGGCCGGTGCCATTGCCGGCATGCCTGCAGCTTACCTGACGACGCCTTGCGACGTGATCAAGACGCGACTGCAGGTCGAGGCGCGCAAGGGCGAGGCGACGTACACGGGTCTGCGGCACGCGGCCAAGACGATCTGGAAGGAGGAGGGCTTCACCGCCTTCTTCAAGGGTGGCCCCGCACGTATTTTCCGATCGTCGCCGCAGTTCGGCTTCACGCTGGCGGCGTACGAGGTGCTGCAGAATGTGGTGCCGATGCCGGGCAAGAAGGGCGAGGTCAAGATGCACGGAGGCGTGGCCGACGCCATGGCGGCCGTCTCGACGGCGGGCAGCCTGGACACGAGCCCGTTCGCGCGCAGCCGCAACGCGCTCAAGATCATCCTGGACCTGGACGAGGACTTTGGCAAGATCAAGATGCCCAACGAGAAGGGCTGGCGGTCGCTGCCGCGGATCATGGGCGGACGCGGCGCGGCGCAATGACGAAGGTTACGATGACGGGCACCACCGGCCGGCGGCCCTGGGGTATCGCCGCACGGCGCCCCGAGGGCCGAACAAAACGGGGTCTCGATAACGGCAGAAAAAGGGAGGGACCAGGCTCTGATCCGCATTGCATCAGACGCGGCGTTTGTTTTTCGGGGCAAAGTGTTCAAAGCATTGCAGGGGTGCCAGAGTCTTTCGCACCCCGCTGTATCTATTTTGTTTCTCTATTCGTCTCTTTTGTATTCCCTCTATTTCATCCTCTTTGACGAGTCTCTGGGTAATGGGGTCTGGCCCGACCTGGCTGGGTCTCTGCCCAGGCAGGACCACGACCCGATGGTGACGGTACGGACGGAACGGATAGACCTAGACTTCCGGACACGGATAGACGCGAGGGTTCGGTTGGGAGCGAGAAGGCAGATAGGGGGTTGACCGCCGTCGCGGTGGGTGGGTGTGCTCGGCTCGGCCCCCCGTGCGCGGCGTGTCTGTTCTATTGGCTCTAGACCCTTTGGCAAGCATAGATGTAGAAAGTTGTATCGTTTCCTCGAAAGGGGCTCGCTGTCGTGCGGTGTCGTGCGGTTGCTGGCATAGTCGGATGTGAAGAAGCGCGCGGTATTGATATCGCTGCCGGGATACCCCAGGCCACGGTCTCATGGTGTCGGTCTCCCTGTCTACCCGTGTGCTTGTATCTCCTTCATGGTGACGGGCCAGACGGGGATATTGAGGCGGTGAGACATGGCCTCATCCTCGCGCTCAAAGCCCACCACCTCCCCGCCCTCCGGCGTCATCATACACCCCTCCAACCAGCGCACATACTCCTCAAAGCCCGTCGTGCTGCCCATGATCCTCACGCGCCGCACGCCGCGCACGCCCTCCAGCACGCGCAGGTTCGCGCACCCGACGCCCAGGAACATGGACTGGACGGCCTCGACGGTGAGCTCATCCGCGCCGGAGAACGCGCGCGCGGCACGTTCCCGCGTGAAGGGCAGGTCGCAGTCGAGGCGCAGCGTGAGGTGGAAGCGGCGGACGAGGGCGAGGGCGGGGGCCTCGCGGACGGGGCTGCACCAGGGGCGCAGGCGCGGGAAGGAGGCGAGCAGGGAGGGGTGGGCGACGAAGGTGTTGAGGGAGTAGAGGATGGGGGTGGCTTCGGCGTGGATGAGGCGGCAGGTGAGGAGGAGGGAGGCGTGGACGGTGAGGTGGAGGCGCTGCCGGTCGGTTTCTGCGTAGTGGCGGTGGTCGTGCTGCTGCTGCTGCTGTTGTGATGTTGATGTTGATATTGATGTTGATGTTGATGGTGGTGAGGACGTGTGGGAGCTGGAGTGGTGGTGGTGGTGGTGGTAGCACGGCGGGAGGTCGTACTTGGAGTAGGGCGGCAGCACGAGCAGCAGCGCGTAGATCTCGAGGCGGATCTCGGGCGGGAGGCTGAGGAAGCCGAGCCGCGGCCGGGGAGGCGCTGTCAACGACGACGACGATGATGTCGTGGGGTCGGACGTGACGTCGTCCATGGTGGGAGTGTCTCGGTGTAAGTGAGATGAGGCTATACAAGTTGACGTGTGCAACGAAGACACGAGAAGGGGAACCCACGAGCTTATATTCAACACTCGGAGTAAAAAAATAAGACAGCTATCGGATCTAAGACTTACTGGAGAATGCCCACCGGGGACCGATTCCATTGGAATTTTTCCTTTCAACCCCCCCTGGGAGGAGGGATGGATGATGACGGGCTTTGGCCTGACAAGCGTGGCGCGAGAGCGTCAGCCCACCACCACCAGTCGACGTTCGCCGGCGGCCCCATTACCAGTACCAGCATCAGTGACAGGCGGGCATGGATTCATTGACTTCCGGCCAACCTACTACAGTACCAGGCGCTATGCCGCGTAGGGGGTGGCTTTTCGCTCGACTCCCCAGCGCGCCTCCCGAGCGAGTGGCATGCTTTTTTTGGGGACACTCCCGGCGGAGCCGTTAGGCCCTAACTCAAAACATCCGACGACACCACCACCACATACGAGTACAGTACCTATAGGGCCGCAAGTTTCAAAGAGCGTGGGCAACGATAAGGGTAATGGGATTAATGGGGCTGGCTGGCTGGCTAGTTGGCGGGCCGGCGGGCGCGTCGCCACGGGTGGTGACGGGTGATGTGACGGACGGAGGGTGGTGGTGGTGCCTCGCCGTCAATCACGAGATTCGATGCTGCGCTGCGATAATGGGCAGTGGGCACTGCCGGGCCCCATATTTAGGAACATGGCTTATCCCTGGGCGGCGCGTGGTGGCGCTGTCCATCCGCGATGTCATTGCCAACTGCCGAGGCGGACCTTGATTTTGAAGGCCGGCACGGGCGGTCAAGTTTGAGTTGGCGATGGCTTCGTCCTGTCGTGGAGGAGGCGGCGCTGTCCAGACCGAGACGCAGACGGGGGGGCATGCCATCACTCTCGACTGCTGGAGCAGGAGTCATCGCGAGCGACGGTATACACTTTTGCTTGTGATTCCATGTCATCCCGCATCAGCCCAGCCAGCCGTCAGCCATCAGCCATCAGCCATCAGCATCAGCTCCGCCATGGACATAAGCGCCTTTCCATCTCGCGCGGTGCCATGGCGCGGGTCCCCGTCCGTTCCGTTCTCCCTCCTCCCTCCCACCCACGCGGCTCTTGTCATTGCGATACATACGACGGTAGTGCATACAGACCCTGTCCTGGTCGGCCATGCCGGTGCCGATGCCGTAGCGCGTCGACGATGATGTTGAAGCACACACGTCCCTGTGCAATGCATGGTTGGTTGGTTGCATGCATGCATGCAGGTGCTGCAGGTCCAGCCAGCCATGCAATCGAGGGAGGGACGGAAGGCCGGGCGTCCATTGGAACCCGGCCCCCTGGTTTCCGTCCGGTCCCTTTCGACGAAATAGGTAGCGTCAGCCAACGCCGAGTCTTGGCCCGGGCCGGGCAGCGCCTGAATGGACGGATGAGATTCCTCGAGATGAATGTGAATGTGACGATGTTAGAGGCTGCTTCGCAACGGCGGGCGGGAACAAGACGGGAAAGGCTCTAGTTACGACCCAGACTGTCGGTGCGAGTGCGACAAGAGGATTATAGGGTCCCACTGCAAGTTAGAGGCTGACAGGCAGTGACATGTCCTGTCTAGTCCGGATGGACAGTGGACGCATCCGCCGCTAGGCTCCGTGGTTCCAGGCCCAGCGCTTACAAGTGACACGCCAGCCAGTCGGGCACGGAGTCGCATGCCGTTTGTGGGCATATTTCAATGAGTAGGTATCTCCACCTTGAGGCTTGCCATCCACCACAGCCGATACAGCTCCATGCAATGCAGCACCAAGTCACCGAGTAACGCCAGTGGCTGGCTGGCCGGCGAGCGCCCCTGTTCAACCGGTAGAATTCGCGGAGTTGCGGATTTGCCCCCTGGTGAAGTCGTCGCCTAGGTACGCGCGCTCATAACGCAGGCGAGCCTGGCTGGGTACGGTAAGGGCTCCGTCTGCAGAGCCTCGGACTTGTTGATGATATATATCGACATCGGGTTTCGCAGAGTCGATATGCAAGAGGGATAGTAGACGCGTCATAGGGGTGGAGCGAGAGGTTACTCCCTCCTCCTTAAGTCCCGAGAAGGTCATCAATCGTACGTGTTCGACGGAAGGCTCGCTATGTCCATTGTGCTTCTCACGCAATGTTGCATTCGCCCGCGCCCGGGCGGCTCTGCCTCCCCCTGCAGGCATCCGCTCTGCTGTTCGGATGCATGCCTCGTCGTCGCACGGATAGCACGGATGATCATCGTGTTCTACCCCGGCTCCAAAGCCCTCACTGCCTCCGAGCTGCCTATCCCGGGTGTAAATCGCAGGCTGAGACGAATCACGTCCCCCTTGACCCTGACCGCGGCGCGGTAACCATCTTGAAGCAAGCAAAGCCAGCAACAGCCAGTAACACAGCTCCCAGACACGCGTCTGCAGAACTGCCGATGCGATTTGAGAGCGATGACGAGTCGTTGCCTTTCACATCGCGCGGCACCAGGTTAAACGTCGTCGCAACCGAGGACCACCCCGTAACTGCCGGGACGACCAGCGTATCGGCCATCCCAAAGCAGTACTCGAAGGGTAGACCCGACGCCCACGACAGCGCAGCCGTCAGACTGAGCGAGTAAACCTCCAAAAGCCGGTGCCGGCGACCGGACCCAAAGCACGGCAGCGTCAAGAGCACGAACCTATACACCGCGTGTGCAAATATCCAGCTCTTGCTAACGGCCGTAAAGACAAACATCCTGTCGTGGAGCATAATCGTCTTCCACCCAGCTCTTCGCCCCTGCTGCACGATCCAGAGGAACAGCGCCAGGCACGCGACCTTGCAGCACAGGCCGCGCAGGGTGCCGCCCGCGGGCGTCGCCACCATCATGCCAATGTTGCCGTACACGGCGAGGTTGACGTACGTCTCAAAGGCGGGCAGGAGCCGCGCCTTGAGGGCCCGGCTGGCGATGAGGAACGCCAGGATGGAGCCCAGGCCGAGGGGCAGCTCGCAGATGGTCTTGATCATGGCGCCGGTCGTGGACGTGGTGTCGTATAGGAGTATTGCGGCGCTGACGGTGAGGACGGCGACCAGGAGCGCGCCCGGCTGGCGGAGGGCGCAGACATAGGTGCAGAGGAGGATGAGGATGAGCCATTGGTTGAAGGGAATGTCAATGTATGGCTCGAGTGCCGTGCGCAGTGATGAGAAGGAGGCCATGAGATGGATATCTGGTGGCTGCGTGACGCCCCGTTCTGGAGCTTGGACGTTGAGAGCTCCGTGGTGGCTGCTGCGGGAACGGTGCTGAACTGGGTTGCACTAAAGTAAACTAGACTATGTTCACTCAGTTGCGCTATAATGTTAGCCGCTAGTAGCACCATCTATGTATGTCAGCGGCGGCTTCACCTCGGGCTGGGCGCTCAATTACGCAACGGCGTCTGCATGCACGGCAGCCCGTCCCGGTCGCACAAAACACCACGCCGGTCGCGTGATACGGGGTGTCTCGCGCTCTGCCCAGCGCCGTCGCGTGGCCGCCGTCCCCAACGTCGCGCGCGTTACTACCACGCCGTCGACCTCTTTACACGCGGTAGCGGGCTGAATCACCAACAGACGCACATCTCGCCTACACAGCGCTACGCCGCCCTTGTCCCGCGACGACAGCGACAACGAGCGACAGCGGCGAGACACGGCGACCTTGCCCTCTCGCATCATCGCATTGCACGCGTCCATCTCCCCGTCGGCAACCATGGCCGTCGGCTTCCTCCCCTTCCTCTCCGCCCTCTTCGGCTGGGTCTACACCCTCTGCTGGAGCGCCTCCTTCTACCCCCAGCCGCTGCTCAACTGGCACCGCCGCACCACGAGCGGCACCACCGTCGACTTTCCCTTCCTCAACGTCCTGGGTTCGTCCTACTCCGATGGACGTTCCGCGATGAGCTTGATGGCCCGGCTGACTGATGACTGTGCTTCTGCAGGCTTCGCCGCGTACCTCGCCTCCAACCTCGCCTTCTACTACTCCCCCGTCGTCCGCGCCCAGTACGCCGCCCGCCACCACGGCCTGCCCCCGACCGTCCAGTTCAACGACATCACCTTTGCGCTGCACGCCCTCGTCCTCTCCGTCCTCACCGCCTCGCAATACCTGCTCGCCCGCCCGCTGTGGCGCTTCGCCCCCGCCGTCGCCGGCGCGCGCCCCAGCCGCGGCGTGCTCGGCATCTCGGCCGGCTCGCTGTGCGGCGTCGCCGTCGTCTACCTGCTCGCGGCCGCCGCGGCCGCCCGCGCTTCCTCCTCTGCCTCCTCCTCCTTGTTGGCGGCGGACGGCCTCTCCGGCCTCCGAGGGCAACAAAGCGCCATCGACCCCGCTGTCGACTGGTGCGAGCTCGACGTCGTCTACGCCGTCGGCTACGTTAAGCTCCTCGTCACCCTCGTCAAGTACACGCCCCAGCTGCTCGCCAACTGGCGCAACAAGAGCACCGAGGGCTGGAGCATCTGGCAGGTCCTGCTGGATCTCGCCGGCGGCGTCCTCAGCATCGCCCAGCTCGGCATCGACAGCTGGCTGCAGGGAAGCTGGAGCGGCGTCACTGGCAACCCCGTCAAGTTTGCCCTCGGCAACGCGAGCCTCGTCTACGACAGTATTTTCATTGTCCAGCACTACGTCGTCTATAGGGGTGCCACGAACGGCTCTGACAAGCCTCGCTGGAGGGGCGTCGAGGAGCCACTGCTGGGGGACGAGGGTGACGAGAGAAGGAGGAGGCGCCTGGACTGAGCAGGTGTTTTTCTCGCCATAGATTCGATGTATACCCCGTGGTCCTATCTAATGCCCAACGGGAAGGAGACTACTGGATGCACTGCGCGGAAGAGAGATTGAAGAGGAGGTGTCTGGACTGTAATGAGCACATGTTCTCCTGCCATAGACTCTCTATATACCCCAAGGTCCTAGCTAATGCCAAACTGGATAATGCCCAGCCGACACAATGCCCCCCCTCACCCAGTCTTGCCCTTGTTCTTGTCCTTGCCCGACCTCGCCGCCCTCATCCCCACGCCCATCACCACCGCCAGCCTCACCAGCCCCATACCCACCAGCATCCCAAAGTTCACCCACTCCTCCGCCCTCCACGCGCCCACGCCCACGCTGCCCTGTCCACCCCTCGCCAGCTCCCTCACGCTCGCCAGCACATGCAGCACATCGCTCATCAACATCCCCGCGCACGCCACGCGCCACACCCCCGCGTCGCGCGTCGCCCGCAGCAGCACCCCGACATTGAACGCGAACAGCAGCTGCAGGATGGCCAGCTGGTCCGTCAGCACGCGCACGTCGGCGAGCGAGTCATTGCCGCCGACGGAGGCGGAGGCGGCGCGGGGTGACATGGCGGCGAGGAAGCGCCCCGGCGAGAGGAACAGCAGCAGCGCGCCGTTGAGGGCCAGGACGGGCTCGACGTACAGCAGGGGGATGCGCAGGAGCTGCGGGATGGGGTGGGGTTCGTGCGCCATGGTGCTGCTCTTGAGGATTGCCTTTGGGCGGATCGGCTCGTGTAGAAGGTATGTACTGGGTTGCATGCGGCGGTGGGTGCTTGTAATATGCCGTGCGTGGGTGATAATTGTGTCGTGTAGAAGGGATGTAAGATGGAGGCGCGGAGATGTATGGATGCAGATGGCTGATGCGGAGAGATAGCGCGGAACTACCGACACGCAGATGCAAAGGCGCCGGGCTTGTCGCAACCTCAAAAATAGCTTCGCGTATCGTCATGGCCCGCCTGCTCGGCGTATATTCCCAGCTAATATACATAGTCTATTTATACAATGCTCCGCTCCGTCTACTTGTACAGCCGCGACCGCAACAGTCGGGGTATCTAACGTGTATCGTATCATCTCTCTACATGACAAAGTTGATGACCTTGCCGCCCCTGACGGGAATCGCCCTCTTGGCCTTGCTCAAGTCGTACTTGCCCTCGCCAAACCTCTCCCTGCCCAGCTGCGTCTCGAGGATCGCGCTCACCATCCAGTCCCGCAGCGCGTCCGCCTGCAGGCCGGCCGGCGGCGGTGGAATTTCCACGACGCCGCGCATCTTGCCGTTGATCTGCACGGCACACTCCTGCTGTCGGGGCTGCAGCATGGCCGTTGCGAGCGTGCCGTCCTCGACGGGGAACGACGCCGTCTTGAAGATGGAGCCCGCGGACGGATGCAGCATGCTCCAGCACTCCTCCGCGAACGCGGGCGTGGCCGGCGCCGCCAGCCGAGCCAGCACACCGGCAGCCTCGCGCTTGATGACGGCACCAGCTGCGTCGCTGCTGCTCAGCGCATTCGTGAGACTCATGAGGTCCGAAATGATCGTGTTCAAGGAGTAAATGTCCTCGTACGAACGTCGTACAGACTCAATGGTCTGCTGCACTTGGCGCCACAACGTCACCTCGGCGTCCCACTGGCTCAGAGCCTTCGAGTCCATGGAGCCGATGGTTGCAAACTTGGCCTCCAGATAGCTCTTTGCGGACATGGACTCCTCGGGTAGGCTGGCCGCCGCAGCCACATGGTCGTGTAGCCGCTGTAGCCACCGCGTAACGCCAGTGATCTTGGCTTCGTCCCAGTTGAGCACGTCGCCAACGGGGGCTTGGAAGAGCATATGAGCCCGCGTGGCATCCGCGCCGTATCGCGAGATAAAGTCGGTCGGGTCCACGCCATTGTGCTTGGACTTGGACATCTTTTCGTACGCAACTGTGGCCGGCGCCCCTGTGGCAACAACCTTGGGTGCCGCGGCGTCGGACAGATCGACCTCATCCGGCTTCAAGAACTTGCCGTTCTCCGGGTTTATGTACGTTCTGCCATGCACCATGCCCTGCGTGATCAGGCGCTTGAAAGGCTCCGCCGACAAGCTCGCATCGTCCGTGTACTGCGGCAGCAGTGGCGTAGAGGCAAGAAACTTGTAGATGAAGCGGGCGTACAGGAGGTGGAGGATCGCATGCTCAATGCCGCCAATGTAAATGTCGACCGGGAGATGTTTGCCGGCGTCTGGCGAAAACAGCTGCCCGGCATTCTGAGGATCGGCGAACCTGGCGTAGTACCAGCTGGAGTCGACAAACGTGTCCATGGTGTCAGTGTCCCTGCGAGCAGGGCCCTTGCAGCTGGGGCAGGTCGTGTTGACAAAGTCGGGAGACGACTCCAGCGCATTGCCTGTTTTCCCGTCGGCCCAATACTGGTCCACCTCGGGCAGCTTGACAGGCAGCTCCTCATCAGGGACCGGCACGGCGCCGCAAGAGTCACAGTGGACAATGGGAATCGGTGCCCCCCAGTACCTCTGGCGGCTGATGAGCCAATCCCTGAGGCGCCATTTCTCGACAGGCTTGGCAAGTTCCGATGCCTCGAGAATGCGAACAATCATCTCCCCAGCCTGCGCAGACGGCTTGCCCTTGAACAAGCCGCTGTGCTCGGTCATGAAGCCGTGCTCGACAAACGGCCCCTTGTCCAGAGCCGTGGTCGACTCGTCCTCTGACGCGGTCAGGACGAACCGCACGGGCTCTTCGGCGTGATGTGTTTTCCAGAAGGAATGGTCCCGCACGTCGTGTCCCGGTACGCCCATGACGGCACCTTCACCGTAGTCGCCAAGGACATAAGGTGCAACATAAATGGGGATTGAAGCTTTTGTCGCGTCCGGAGTCTCGTCGTGGTAGGCGAGGGGGTTGATGGCCCGGAGTTTGGGCAGCATGTAGCCGAGCTTGGAGTCCGGGGGCAGTCCGGGGAGGGTGTCGAGGAATGCCTGGAGCTCAGCGTCACTTGTTGCCAGCTGCTGGACGACCGGGTGTGAGGCCGACAGAGCAATATACTGGACCCCGAAGAGCGTATCTGGTCGCGTGGTGAACACCTCAATGGCGGCGCCAACGTCTGTGCCAAACGTCATGACGGGGAACTTGATGGCGGCTCCCGCAGACTTGCCGAGCCAATTCTTTTGCTGCGACAGAACGCGCTCGGGCCAGGCATTGTCCTTGGCCAGCTGCTCGAGATCGTTGAGGAGGGCCTCGCGAAACTCGGAGATGCGAAAGAACCACTGCTTGAGCTTCTTCTTCTCGACCTTAGCGCCGGACCTCCAAGAGTAGCCGTTGGCATCGACCTGCTCGTTTGCGAGGACGGTCTTGTCGACGGGGTCGTAGTTGACCTCGGCCTCTTCCTGGTACGCGAGCCCGCGCTCGTGCAGCATCAGAAACAGCTTTTGGGTGTGTTTGTAGAAACTCGGATCGCATGTCGTCAGCTCCTAGTAACCGGTCAGCAGGCACATCGACAAGGTCACACAGATAAGGTATATCCTACGCGATCCCAGTTCCAGCTACCATTCATCAGCGCCATCTGCTCCTTCATCTTGGCAATGTTGGTCGTGGTCCATTCGTCTGGAGGTATGCCGCGCTCGAGGGCAGCGTTTTCGGCAGGCAGGCCGAAAGCATCCCAGCCCATTGGCAAGAGCACATTCTCTCCCTTGAGTCTGTGGTATCGGGCGACGACGTCCGCAATGGTGTAGACTCGTAGGTGGCCGAGGTGGAGCGTGCCAGACGGGTACGGGAACATGGGCAGGACAAACTTGTCCTTGGCCCCATCGGTCGCGCTCGTCCGGGGCGCGTCGTCCGAGGTTTTCCATGCCTGCCGCCACTTGCCGTCCAAGGCCCTGAGGTCGACGGCATACCAGCGTCGGGCCAGCGAGGCCGAAGTCGGTTGGCTCCGGCGCGAGGTCCCCAGGGTGTGACTGGCGAGGGTTGCGGTTCGTTGCGCAGCGCAGAGGGACAAGCCAGCTGCCCCTCTGCAGCTCACCTGCCTTGCGTACAGCAGCTGCATCGGATCGCCGTGACCATGTCAAGAAGCGTGGGTGGCGAGTGTCGCGTATCGCAGTTTGGACGGCAGACGAAGTGGTGTTGAATGTACAATGTCTACGAAACGCGACAGGCGAACGCCAAAAAATTGGAAGCTCGGGCCGCTGCAGCCAGTCATCGGATGGTATTGCAGCAGCGCGCAGGAGGACCCTGCAGGGAACGGAACCTGCCAAGCTGGTGGCCACTGGCAGCCACTGGCAGCCCTGCGTCACCCCAGCACTGTGAGGAACCGTTTTGGGGGCGCCGTTTACCCACTGCGGCGCTAGGTCCGGGCGGGCGACAACGGACCAGGTGACCACGACCCCGCCATCCGCACGGGCAACCTGGGAAGCTCCAGTGTTTGCTCCAGCTCCAGCGCTGCCCCTCGTTTTGCGCCCGCTGGGAGGGAAAGTGGGGGATCCAGTCGCTCTTACCTCACGAGCGTGGCTTACCTTCGGCTTTGGAAGGTGGTCAAAGATTTCGTGCTCCCGAGTCCAGATATCGACCACCCGTCCCCCATTCTGTCGCCCGTCGCCTCATGTTTGTACTTCGTACTGCATAACGTACGCCGCGTCCGAAAACGAGCTCAACAAAAAACGTGCGTTCCTCTGCTGTCCGGGAGCTCAACAGCGTTGCATCGCAGTCGACCATCTGCAAGCTGCGCCTGTTGGACTCTAGACGCCGGAGCCGGCCTCCCCACCCGTTGCGGCTCGTCGCCACCAGCGCCAGCACCTACGTCCTCATCAGGCCAACGCGCAACGACGGGCGCATTTCCATATGCTCGTCATTTGAACCCTACCGAGTATACCGAGCCGATTTCCATTGCACGCGCTGTGGCACATCCGCCCCGATACCACCACCATGGACAAGATCACAGACAAGATCGCGGCCCTGCCGCCCGATGCCGAGTACTTCTCGCTCGAGTTCTTCCCGCCAAAGACGGCAATGGGCTTCTCCAACCTGCGACACAGACTGCAGAGAATGGAACAGGCCCTGCGGCCGCTCTTCGTCAATGTCACCTGGGGAGCAGGCGGTTCCACGGCGACAAAGTCGCTCGAGCTGGCTGAGCTGTGCCAGCGCGAGCTTGGTCTCACAACATGCCTGCACCTTACATGCACCAACATGAGCCGCCGCCTCATCGACAAGGCCCTCGAAGACGCCAAGGTCCTCGGAATTCGCAACATCCTTGCCCTCAGGGGCGACCCGCCGCGCAACGAAGAGTATCGCGATGCCGACGACACCGACGACGGCGCCGCTGAGGACTTTACCTGGGCCATTGACCTGGTTCGCTACATCCGCAGCAAGCATGGCGACTATTTCTGCATTGGAGTCGCGGCTTATCCCGAGGGCCATGCCGACGAGAGCCACCCGTTGGGCCAGAGCCTCGAGCACGACCTGCCGTACTTGGTCGACAAGGTCCAGGCTGGAGCCGACTTTATCATGACGCAGCTGTTCTTCGACATTGACGCCTACGACAAGTTCGAAAAGACCCTGCGAGAGCATCCCAGTGGCGCTTTCAAGGATATAATCATAATCCCTGGCCTGATGCCCATCCAGAGCTACCAAATGATCAAGCGGACAACTAAGCTCAGCCATGCCAAGATGCCCGAAGCCATCATGTCTCGGCTCAACGCAGTCAAGGGTGACGACGAAAAGGTGAAGCTGGTCGGTGTGGATATCGTCAGCGAACTGATTGAGCAGATTCGCACCATCAAGAGCCGGAGCACCGGCCGCAAGGGCTTCCACTTTTACACCCTCAACCTCGAAAAGGCCGTGGCTTTCATTGTCGAGCGGACCGGCCTCATTCCCGACACATCCGATAACGAGGAGGCTGTCGTTGAAGACACTAGTGCGGTCCCCACGCTCCAGGTCAACGGCAACGTTCGCCTCCGCACAAGAAGTCACTCGCGGACATCGAGGAGGCAGTCTTCGGTCGGATCAGACCCTCACAACAGAGTCATCGTCGGCAGCCAACGCCCGTCCCACCCTGAATGGGAAGCCAGCGGCCAAGAGGCCGGCGTCCCCGCCGAGGCCATCAACTCGCGTGCCAACACCTTGGCCATCTCGGAGGGTGAGGGCGTGCTTGGCCGGGAGGCTACCTGGGATGACTTTCCCAACGGTCGCTTCGGTGACTCCAGATCCCCGGCTTACGGTGAGATTGATGGCTATGGCGTCAGCCTCCACATGTCTGTCGCGTCAGCCGTGCGGTTATGGGGCCACCCCAAGACTCGTCAGGACATCAGCGACATCTTCGTGCGGCACATGAAGGGTCAGCTCGAGGCCATTCCCTGGAGCGAGGAAGAGCTGATGCCCGAGTCGTCCGCGATTCAGCCTCGGCTCGTCGAGCTCAACAGCAAGGGCTGGTGGACCGTCGCCTCCCAGCCGGCCGTGAACGGTCTGCCATCGAACGACTCGACGTTTGGCTGGGGCCCCCCGAACGGCTTCGTCTTCCAGAAGGCGTTTGTAGAGCTCTTCATCCCATCTTCTGACTGGAAAGTCCTGGCCGAACGGCTGCGTGCGCCCGAGGTCCGCGACGTGGTTTGCTTCTACTCGGCCAACGCCAAGGGCGAGTTCGAATCATCCGACGTGAGCGGCGCGGCCAACACATCTACCGGCGAGGCAAGCACCAATGCGGTGACGTGGGGCGTGTTCCCGGGCAAGGAGATCGTGACGCCGACCATTATCGAGGAGGTGAGCTTCAGGGCGTGGAGCGAGGAGGCGTTTGGCATCTGGGGCGAGTGGGCCAAGGTCTACGGCCGGGGGTCGGAGAGCGAGAAGCTGCTCAACGGCATAAAGGAGGACTATTGGCTGGTTAACATCATTCACCATGACTTTGTGGACAAGGAGGCGCTTTGGAAGCTGCTCATGGCATAAGATGAGATGATGAGAGGAGGCGGCTGGGCGTACATGGCGAGGGAGTTGGGCAAGACAGGCGCTGGAAAAGATATCATGGTCGGCAGTAATTCAACAGACGCTGTAGAGCAAGTTAATGTTTTCACATTTGCGCCATCCGACGGGGCGGGCAGTTTCGAGTGGCGTTTATAATGATTAATTATCCCGACACTGGCTGGAAATATCGGTGTAGCTTGGCATGTTCTGTCACGATTGGCACCTTGTATTGCGAATGTGTTGAGATTGTCTATCTACGAAGCCAGTGTGACAGGCACAACCGCATTCCAGATCCAGACCCCCTCAGTCTCTCTCTCACAGAGACTCGTACCCGAGTCCCCCAGCCCGCTGCCGCCCAGATCCTGCAAATGCCCTGTCCATTTCCGTCAACCCCCAACAGGTAAAGTCCTGTTCCCCTTCCCATGCATTACCGTCGTCCAACGCTCCCATTTCCCCGGCTTCCTGGTACAATACCGTCCCTGCGCTATGCTCAACAAAGAGCTAGGAGGGAGGGGGTATCCTGCCGGCGGGCGTTGTATGTGTATAGCAAACTTTTTTGTGTCGTCTTCTTCTTCCTCTTCTTCTTCTTCTTCTCCTTGTTCCTCCCGGAGTCCGCGTGCACGGGCAGGGGGGGTATCATGGTTGGTTGGTTTGTCGTCGATGTGTGTCCCCGACGATAAAAGTAAGGTGTTCTCCTCTTCTTTTCTCTTCCCTCTTCCTTCTCGCTGTGCGTGTGCGCGGCGTGGAGAAGAAGAACGGTGAGAAAAGGAAAAGGAACCGAAAACGGGAAATGACAAAACCAGAAAGGAAAAAGAGACCGCGTCGTCTGTTGCGCGGCTGCGTCGTCCAGGAGAGCGCAAGAAAGAGCCTCTGCCGAGCAGGACGGTCCGCGGTTCAAGTCAACAGGTCTGAACGAAGGCACCGGCGCGGGCCAGACACAAGCAGTGTCATCCATCCATCCGCGCGTGTGCCCAAATCCTCATCGATCCACCAACGCCGATGCGCGCGCGCAAAGAAAAAAATCACAGAGCGCACGTCTAGCAGTCTTTTGCTCTGACCATTCCCCTTTTCCCAGGGGTTGTTGAGCTTGCTGCTGCTGCAAAATGAAAAAGGAAAAGTGCCCGCGAAGAAGAAAAAGCCGAGACGAATGCGCGGCGGGCTGAGACAAAAGAAAGAGAAAAAAGAAGAAAAAACGGCGAGTGTACTGGGCCGCTATACCAGGCCATGTAGAAAAGGGGGCGACGAGGAAGCAATGAGTCGCAAGTCGTGATTGTGGACATTCGGCCGACGTGTCCAAGTTCCGAGTGGAAAAGCCCGGAATTAGTACTCGCCGTCCTCGAAGTCGTCGTTAATATAGGGCATGGCAGGGTAGGTGAAGCTGCCGCCGGGGCGGGCCATCGAGGTCATGCACACGTCCGAGCCGTTGCGAGAAAAGGCCGCCGGGAGAGCAGGAGCGCCGCCTCCGCCGCCGCCAGTGTAAGCGGGAGCAGCGCTGTGGCCCATGGCGGTCGCGTTGCCAGGATTGCCGGCGCCGTTGCCGGTGCCAAAGGGGCCGAACATGGACTTGCGCTCGACCGACGGAGCGGCAGGCTGGACGGGAGTGTGGTGGTGGTAGCTGGTGCGCTCGATCGGGGTGGGCGACTCGCTGTCTTGGAGCTGCGCCGCGACGCTGGCGATCGTAACGTTGGCCTTTTGCGCAGCTCGGCGGGGCGTCACGTTCTTCTGGCCCGTGACGCCGAGTCCTCCTCCGGCGGCGGTGGCCATGGTGTTGGCGTTGGCGGCCATCATGGCGGAGGAGGAGACGGTCTTGGTGCGCTTCGAGGGCGTCTGGTCGCGCTCGCTGTAGTTGCTGTCCTCGGCGGCCGTGCCCTCGTCGTCGCTCGACTCCTGCTTGAGATCGATGCGGCGCTTGCGGGCGGTGCCCGTGCCGGAGCGGCGCGACGAGGTGGGCGTGGTGAAGGCGGACCGGGACGGGGTGGTGGCGGCCGAGGAGGAGGGCATGGTGCTGAGGTTGAGGCAGCTGGCGGCGTCGCCGTTCGCCGCGACGGTCTGGCGGAGCGTCTCGGCGTCCTTCTTGATGCCGCGGAACTGGAACTGCATGCCGTCGGCGGTCGACTGGCCAAAGTACTTGGCAATGTCTGCAAAAAGGGTGGTTCAGTTAGCACAAAACAGTCCTCGCCCAAGCCTCGTGGTCTAAAGAATGCAATGCAAGAATAAAGTAATGCAAATAGCTTGGCGTACTGGTCTTGTCCACGCGTTCCTGGGCGTCGGGAAGGTCATCGGGCAGCCCCATGTTCTTCATGTCGAAGCCCTGCTTGCGCGCCTCGCGGATGATGACGGACTGGGCGCGATAGCGGCGGAAACGGTGGTTGAGTGCAAAGTCTGTCATGTCCGAGCCATAACATGCGACGATTTCTGGGACGAAGGATTAGCCTTCGTCCCTGGTTGAATCGTCGAACATGAAACGGCTCGGCTCAGAGACGGAGGAAACGATATGGGCTTGAGGGAAAGCGCGGGAGACGGGGGGAGGATGGGGAGGGTTTGGGGAGGGTTCGAGATCGACTTACCCTTGTAGTTCCACTTGACGTCCGGGTGGGCGGCCACGATGGCGCGGACCATACGGGCCTGGGCCTCGTAGGTCTTGTAGTTGGCTTTGGAGTTTGCGGGCGCCATCTCGTCGTATAGTCTCTGTCGGATTGAGCGGTCAGTTGCGACGACGACCCGAAGCAGCTGCGCCCTCCGGCCCAAAGGCCGATGGTGCGACGAGCCGAGAGGATCGGGCATTCTGAAGTACCTGAAGGCTCTAGGATCAAGCGAGCTTATGGGAAGTAACGAAGTCAAGGTAATAGAGGTTGAGCCTTGGCCGATGGCTTTGATAAATCGAAGTTGGGCTGATGCGCAGGCGGATGGGATGTGATGCGAGGGCGATGTGATGATGTGGAGAGGAAACGGTTGGAGGTGAAAGGGTGAACCTTCACGAATTGAACAAGAGGAAGGTTGCAAACGGTGGGGCTTTATATAGGTCCGCGCAGCTGCGAGAGTTGAGTTGTGCGCGGAGTTGAACAGCTGCCAGCAGTTGAACAGGCGAGGTGGTTGCCAACCAGGCGACGGGCTCGGTGGGTGTTTCTAGAACGGTGCCGCCGCAAAAGGTGCAAACGCGAAGGAGATAGTAGGAAATCCTGATAACTTGGCGCAGCTGTATGCTCGCGTAAATGAAGTGGCAGGAAGGGGAGGAGAGGTGTCTGCGGGCGAGAGCGGCTTGATGCGTAGTAGTGAATGGAGGTTGGCGAAGTGGTGATGAGTGCGGCGATGAGCTTGCGTGGGCTGAAGCTGAAGCTGATAGGGGTTGTCTGGATTAGTCTTCAGAGGGTATCAAGACCCGTTGCAAGCAGGTACTGTTTGGCCACAGCAGTATGCGTCGGCAGAGATGAGCCTTGAGTCGCCCGGCAGTCAGTTGGAGTTTGTTGAAGTCGCACGGCTCGAGTTGCAAGATTGTTGAAGAAGGTCGAAAGCCGTGTCCGCAGAACCAAGGAAAGAGAGCTGCTCGCAAACGCACCTTGGCAACCAGATCCATCGACCGAGTTACAATCTCGAGTCTGGCACTCAGAAACAGATTGCCAAAGCCGGCGCTATATGCCGTGCGGCTCAGCAAGATGCGGCTCTGCTACCCGCCGCAGCGCCCGTGAATCGTACACACAGCTGCCACACACCAGTCTGCCAGCTCACAGCAACCGCTTCCAGAAACGAATTCAACACAGAAAGCTTTGCGGCTCTTCAGCAACAAAGAAAAAGGGCAAAACTTCGTGCGGGCTCGACACCTCGCAGACGCTGGCCAAGGTTCGTCGTATGGGCGTTTCGTCGTGGGGGACAGAAAGGACGTTGCCCTGTTGCTGGGCCGACAAAAGGGGACCCCCTAGCCGAGATAAAATGTATACGAGTACGTATATTCGCGACAGCGGGAGGCTTCGTTTGGGGAATAGTGCAATCGAACCCAGTGGGCTTCGACGGTGGCGGATGGCTGCAAAGATGTGGATAGCAGTTGGAGAGAAAGACAGGCAGACAGGCAACAGTGCAATGCAGCCGTCGTCGTGGGTTGGAAAGTCGGTGGCTGGGTTTCTCCTGATCCCTGGCGGCATCTGGTGCCAGTGAGATGGCCTGCGACTTTGCTTTGCCTGCCGCTCCGCGACGTCACGCTTCTAGCTAGGCGGGCGGTGCGAGAAAAAAAAATTATTCCAATCATTGTACATCGTGTTATTTGATTATGATATTAACCCAACGCCTTGGTCCCCGGTGCGCTCTGCACAGCGAGGCTGCGTGCGGTGTTGGCGGGTACCGCTCTATCACGACTTAACGCTCGTCGCAGGCCCAGCGAGGCTCGCCCCTCCATCCGCCTGCCTCTGCTCGGAGCGCTCAAGGCACGCGACATCATCATCACCACATGAAAATCCTGGGTGCATGGCCCATGGCCCATGGGCCTCGCTGCCGCTGAATGCATGTCCTGGTTCAATCCAACTCCAGCAGCCGTAAACGAGCAAGCCCAGCAGCGTCACCGTCGCACACGGGCATGCAGCAGGGCATTCTGGCATCGGCGGCCCCGTGGCCCTTCAGCCAGCTCAGCGTCATCCGCAGCGCGGCGCTCTAGTCCACCTCGGAGTCGCTGAACAGACCTGGCCGCCGCGACGGCGACAGGCTCCGGCTGTGCGGCCGGTTGTGGCCCGGCTTGTATGCGCTCGACCACTGGCCCTCTTCCATCGGGTGCTCCTTGATCATCTCCTCCTCGCCGTCTCCGTACATCAAGTATTGTACACCCAGCAGGCAGTCGCACGCCGCCTGGAACAGTCCGCACACTTTAAAGGCCACCGGGATCTCCGTCGTCGCCGTGAAGAACCAAAAGACCTTCATGGCGTCGCCACCGATCCACGCGATCAGCAGCGACAGCCGAAAGCCCTTGCACGACTTGGACTGCGAGTTGGCGAGCAGCTGCGGGATCGGCAGCGTCGCCTCGACCGAGAGGCCGATATATCCGATCAGCACCGAGTACGTCGAGTACAACGGGGGCAAGGGTGCGAGGACCAGTTCGCATACGACAAGACCGGCGAGTAGATAGACGAGGAACTGCCAGTACCTTTTGCCATGTCAGTTCATGCTGTGCAAAGGAACAAACGCGGCGTCACTCACGGCTTGTGCGACCGCCACTGCCAGAAGCTGTATGGCCGCTGGCCGGCGAAGAAGCCATCCTGCTGCACCCCGGAGAACGGCAGGCTGCCCTCGCCTCCCTTAGTTGACGGCGCGGGTCTGTGATCGAGTGCTATCTTGAGCAGAACGAGTTGCATCGCCACCATGATGAGTGACTGCACTAGCAAGCTCGTATCGAACCGGGCGCCGGGCCAGTAAAAGATTCTGCGAGAATACGAGCGTCAGCCAGCGAGTTCCCCCACCGAGTCTCGCCGTCGCAAGCCAAGGCGCGCGCATACCTGAAGAAGGAGGCGATGAGCATGATTAGAGGGATGTCGAGAGAAAAGCCGGCGCTCGACTTGGTGCGGTGCATCGACAGCGCCTGGTCGCCGTACGAGATGATGGGCGACATGATGATGAAGAACGGGGCAATATAGCCCGTGCAGTTGGTGAGCCAGCTCATCGTGGGCGATTAAGCACCTGCAACTGCTTTCCTTGGATTGAATGCCGAGCGGGAGACGGAGGCTGGCGGGATGCCGTGCAACGACGCGGCGAACCCAAGCGGCGGACGAGGACCAGGAGGACCGAGAAGGCAAGAAACGCTGACGATATCCTAAACTTTTCCACAGCCTATCGCATCGAGGCCATTCGCAAGCGTTCGCGGCGGGTTGTTTAAACGAATGAGTTGGATCGAGCGCACGCAACCGCAGTGCAATGCCAGGGACCGACGCGACCGGAAACGGCGGGAGATGACGATGGTGTTGGAAAAATTGCCGGTGCTGGAATGGATTCTGTTGAGCGAGACGCGCCCGAGGCGGCGAGTGGATGGATGGAGGCGCCGGCGTCAGCGAAAGGGGGGGGAGCCAGCTGGCCAGCCGGGCGCCCAGTAGCCCAGCGCCAGCTCCTCAGCCAGTGCCAGGTCCAGCCTTACTGGGCCTTGGCTTTTTTTTCGCTCCTTTCCACTGCAGGGGCTGAGCAAGTGCCTGTGCCGTGTGTCCGCTGCGCCAAAGATCTGGTACCTGGGACTTGGCGGGCCCCCCCGCGGCACTGCCAAGTAACGCCAGCTAGTGCCTGGCCGTGCCCGCTTCTGCCCAATCAGGGAAGGGTCTCACGCGACCACCCAGCCTGGGCAAGGCGAGTGCGGGCAAAAGCCAGGCATGCCAGGCCAGAGAATGGAAGGAAGGAGCCACCACCAGTGCACCACCCCTGCCTGCCGGCCCTTCCATCCTTCTGTGCGACTTCTGGCACCTCCCGTCACTTCTGCAGTGCTGCCGAATCAGGAAGTCGCGTGTCTGTCTCAGACCTGCGTCTCGTCGGCCCTCAAACCAAGGCTTGACATGACACTTTGTCTTCTTCGCCCTCTCACCCCACGTAAGACTGTACTGCCCGTACCGTACAGGCATACGTGTTTGGCGTTGCCCTTTCTCGCATTTCGCGTCCGCGTCTGTCCTCTTGCCGCCGTGCAACATGACATATCAACTCTCGACAACCACCGATACTCCGTCAACCCACCACAAACGTACCGTTTGAGCCGTGCCCTCCCACCAAGTGAGTTCTCCTGTCACATTTCCATCTTTGCATTGCCGGTATGTCTTGACATGCTTCGTTACTACACGTATCCTGTATCTCGTTACTAACTGGCAACTAGAAGAAAGTTGCCGGTTATCGGGACTCTGAAAGTCTGAATCGCAATCCACCTGCAACCACAATGGGGAACGCCAGCTTCCGTTCTTCGCGAATCCCCAATGACCCGCTCCATGCCAAACACCATTGACAATGGCATCAAGCCTTTTCTACAGCTTGTATGCTGAGATCGCCAGTCCATCATAATGCACTCGCGTCACCAGTGGCCCTGCAACCACCGTGCCAGGCAAATGCACACGTCACTGCTTTACATATGTCGACGGCAAGAATTTGCTGGCCCTTTGATGCACTGGAGATGCAATATCAGCTCAAGTTGCACCGTCGGCGATTGCACTGCGGCTACACTAACCGATGACGCCTCGAGCCGGCCTCCCTTTACGTACGAGACTCCTGGAGCTCATAGCGTCGCTGCTTATTTGAAACCGGCCCATTGGTTCTCGAGACTCGGCGGACATTGGGTCGTCAAGCATCTCAGGCCCCGTCGGAAGCCCAGGCACCAGCACCGTACTGGGATGATCGCTCACGGTCCGGAATCGAATAGTCGCTGCTCCTGCCCAGAGGTCCCGTCCAGCACAAGACGCTAATACATGAAGAGAGGTCTTAGCCCCCCCCCCCCATCTCCGCGACCAAGCCCGTTGTTTAGAGTTACTCGGACTCATGCTCAGTTGAAAGCAACCATTTGCCAACATTCAGAAAGCGTCCAACTGCGACTCCAAAGTGGCCGGTATCTCCGCGCACCATGTATGCCTTCGAGGGTTACCACTGGTACTCATAGCCCCAGGATATTGCACGCCCAGGGTTCACCATTCGAAGCAATCCCGCCACGTATAACTCCCAGGCAGCTCCTCGATCGTGGTGGGGAGCCGAAAGGCGGCGTCCCGTGATATGTCCTCACCGGACTGCCGGCGAGGCCTTCATTCTGCTCTCAAGGGAACGCGCCTGCTACGCAAGAGTGTGTTTCCTGCGGCGAAAGAGCCGCTCTCAATCATGCTCAACTGGAACAAACACTGTTGAACAGGTCGGGGATCCCGGGTTCGAGTTATCGCACGTCCGGCGGTGGGCCTTAGGATATTCCCGGTTCCTTCAGAACGCTCCGCCTACCCAGCTGCCGTCAGGAGACGCACAGCTTCTTTGGCTCTGTGACTATGGACACTTGGATTCGCAAGTCCAGTCCATGGAGTCTCATGTTTGCAAGCAGCGTTACTATCGCCATGGTGCCTTCTTTTCCGCTGATCCGTCGCAGTCCTTCATTATGATGTGTCGTCTCTCCTGGAAAGGTTTCCCGGAACGCACATACGGCTCTCCTACGGCACTCGTTTGACATCGGACGCATTTGAGCCCGTTGGGTAAAGCCCTCGGTGGAATGAAACATGACCGCAGTCGTTACCGACCTCGCATTGTGGGACTGAGAATCTTTGTGAATTGAGGGACTTCAATCGCCATTGCCATCGACTACTGTCTTCCACTTCAAATGGCCGTCATTTCCTGCTCCTCACTGGATGGCATACATGCTACACTTTAGCCATGGTAACTATCCAGGAGCCTTCCAGGACTCTATTGCTGAACGGTTTCGAGACAAGATTCGACCTCGCCTTAGGCTCGGTTGCGCCTACCATGAAACAACGCTTGCCAAGTCATTCATTTCTTCAATCTGTCCTGCTATCGGACGCCATCTGGTAGAGCTGCCCTCCATGGTCCTTGCGGTGGCAGCGCAGCACCGCACTTGACAATTGCCCGAAGTTTTACGCGGTCATCTAGTGCTCATATCAGTTTGAACCTTAACCTGGGTTCTCGCCAGTTCATATTTCTTTCACAGCAGTCGTGCGCGATCAAGAGCATCTACGTCGCAAGGACGAGCTGGTTCATCCGATGCGAGACAAATGCTGGCAGATGCTGGCAGACAAGTCCACAAATCCTGCGGTTGCGATTCCACAAATCAATACGACATCCATCAGGGCCTCTGTGCAGCTTGTTCATTCAAACAGACGTGCGCCAGTGGCTTGAGGTGCGGCATCGCGGTAGCCATCTGTGACAACACTCAAGCAAGCGACACTGTGCATCTTAGTTACAATCTAGGAAGCCCGGTCAGGTTCTTGCACAAAACGCAACACACTCATCGTACATGCGCCAGTCCAACGGCTTGCTGAGCTTCTTTCTGTACCCTCTCCTGGTCTCTTTCCGGGTCTCGTTCTCTCTTCTATCCTCTGGTCTAGAGCCCTCTGTGGTTGCGGTTGCGCGCGGACTACCCTATACCCAATTGTGACGCCGGCACGGACGGCCAGGCCTCGAAGGTTACGACTATTCCCACGCTGTCGCTCGTACACGACAGGCCACTAGGAATCGATCCGGAGTGTCTGCTCTCAGTGCCCGCCTAACGATGGTGGTCGTATTCCGTCGAATGAGCACGTCCCGTGGCATCGTGCCGTCTGCTTATCTCGCGATAGCGACCGCTTGAATTGTCAAGCAGAGCCCAAGTTCACAAGCTTGACAATACAACGAGGCAGTTCACAAGTGAGCACTACCGGTACTCGCCGTCACATTCACGGGAGCTGGGTCGTCTCGGTCTTGCAAGGTCCACCCCCATCAACCTGGTCGGTCCGACTCCAGGTTGAAGAATCACAAGGCTGGGCGATTCGACCTGGTCAACGGTCAGCCGTCTGCAAAGAGGCGGGCCGAAGTCCCACATGCCCAGGCAGGGCCGCTGGAGACTGCTGAAGACCAAGTGATTCCGCTTCGGCCCCCTCTCCGGCCCCGCGCCCGAAGACTGCAGTTGCACAGATCGGCGGATGGATCCAGATCCAGAGCGACTCGACGCCCACGGAGTGGCAATAATATGGCGCTGCGCTGTACGAGTACGGTACGGTACTCCGTGCAAAGAGGCCAGAATCCACAGGCCGTTGGGCTAATGTTGTAGCGTCTGCCCGGTGGCTGGCCCGGCGCTGCCTCGAGACTATTCAATGCGAATCGCGCGGCTCTTCGCTGCGATTCAGAGTTAGCGGTCCATGCGCTGAAACCGCGTATACGGACACTCCCGTCCGAAGCGGGCTGGCGCACAGACGGCCCCTGGGCGTAGTGTCGGAAAAAAAAAGAGAGAGGAAGCCAAGACGTCAAGGCAAGTGTCAAAAGCACCGGCGATGGGAGAAGCCAAATGGGGTTTCTAACCTGGAGAGGCACAAAGGACTTTGACGATCGGGACGAGGACCTGACGGCGTGCAGCGGCCGTGGTGACATCGCATGGTGTTCGGCCCGCCAACAAAACGGGGCGCATTCTGCAAGTCTGCGTGCTGCTTGTGGGCCAACACGCCGGCCAACGGGCGGCAGGCCATTGCCACGCCAGGACGCATCTCCATCCTTTCGTGGAACTCTGCACCGAGATGAGATGGCGTCTTCGTTTGGGAAGCGCGGAGAAAGAGGCAGTCGAGAGTCGAAACGGCGGCTCGCAAGCCACCCCCGGTGGCATCTGCTCAGGGCATGGAGAAAAGGCGGGCCAACCGGCCGAGACGCCTGCTAACCTCAGTGCTAGCAGCAGCCAGGTCCCTCCGTGGATGCTGTGCCGTGCTGGACCCCTACTAGGGCGTGTCAAATCCACGCTCTAGTTGGGCTGATATGCACGAGTGACATATAGGCCCAGCATGCCAGAGCGCCACGGCCGCCGCCGGCGTTGCTCTGGCGCCTCCATGTGCCGTCCGTTCATCTCTGGTGGCAGCGGTGTTGCATTCACACTGGCTCATTACGCAGCGAGACCGACGACCGTTGTTGGTCCTCCCTGCCGGCCGTTGGACATGGAGCGCGTCCATCCATGATCCATCCGTCCGCTGCGCTGCGCTGACTGGGCGCGTGCACGCACTCGACGTCGGCCATGGTCGCACACGCCCCCGGTCGGCCAGGGCAGGCGGCGGCGCGAGGACGAGTCGCCGGCAGACACGTTCGTCGCACACTCGATCCTCCTCGATGCTACCTACGGCACTGTACGGTACGGTACTGTACGGACTACTGGAACAGTAGACGACACGGCATCAGCAGCAGTAGCAGCAGGACCAGCAGCAGGACCAGCAGACAGGCAGCCACGGCGGCGAGCCAATGCTGGCGATCCCTGCTGCATGCGTGCCAGTGTGGTCGTGTGCAGCAAACCGTGCCAAATGCCGCCTGATGCCGAGATTGTGTAGAACAAGAGCCGCGAGGCCCCCAGCCAGTCACTCCTCAATCTCTGGGGGAGCACGGACGCCGCCGCCAGTGACGTGGCCCAGATTAGCTCTGGACCTGGCCACGGCAAATCGGTTGCGGCCGGGACGGCCTCTGGTGAGACAATTCCTTGCATTGCCCTCTCGTGGCGGGCGCGGCTTGATGCTCGGGAGAGGCTGACGATGGAGGCGGCCGTTTCCCTCGTTGGCCCCTTGCATTGGACCTCGTTCCGATCCCTCCACTAACCTAGCCTCGCGCGTGCCTCTGTCCCTGCACCCGTCGTCAGAATGATACGATCAGACGGAGAGAAGACTCCTCGAATTCTCCCAAGCGAGATGAGCAGCGGCATGTCGGTACCGGAGCCGGCGCGAGGGACGCGCGTGGCAAGGCAGGGTATGCAAGAGCTTTGAGGCACAGGCCACACAACCCCGGCCTGCCAGAACCCTCCAGTTCGTCCCCGACCGGCTCGGGCTGCTCCAACGCCCCGAGGCCATGACATACGAAGTACGGGCAGCAGCAAGTCGCTCACTCACCGCTCGTATCCTACAGTGCAGTACTTAGTCGGACATGGTTGCGAAGGCGCTCTTCGGTAGCGAAACAAACAGAGGCCAGACCGGCCGAGACCAACCAGGCGCCCCCGACGGCGCAGGCAACCGCGCAGGCAACGGCCACCTCATCACAGCTCCTTTGAGGCGGAGGCCATTCTTCTCGCGGGAGCCTGTTGCTGACGTTGGACGCAACGTCTCCTCAAGAGGAAGGTAACTGCCAGGTCCCGACAGTCTGGGTCGTGGAACAGGTTTTGAGCAACTTGGTCTCGGTGCGCGACGCGCGGTGCATGAGTGGGCAGCGAAGCGAGCCGCCGAGTCTGGACGGGCACACGGAGAGCCAGAAGGTTGGAGGGATGGCTGGATGGCTGGCTGGCTGGACGGGATGGATGGCATGGCATGGCATGGCATGGCACGACACGGGGGGAGGGATAATACCAAGACACTTGCGCGTGTG